TAGCATCGGTATATCTTCAAATTTTTATTCATTTATCTGTTATAGTTTACGAAAAATGACCAAAAAACAATTTTTTATTCCTTTTGAAAAATAGAGGTGTACTCTCCTTATGTGATACTGTGTTTGTGTCCTTCGATCTATTTGGCCAGCACGCGAACGTGCAGGAACTTCCAATGTTGCTGCCTAATTTCATGCATTTTTGCTGCCAGGAAAATATTCACAATAATCTTTACATACGTGGACAGTCGGACAGACTTAAATGGATTTAGAATTTGATGCTGAATAAGAACATATATATACTTTGTGGAGTCTCTGATGCTTTCTCCTGCATGTTGCAAACATTTTCACAAAATAAATACATCGCTCATCCTTCAGTGATAAATATATAAAAAGAAAAATGTCAAAATTTAATTACAAGGAATTATGTATACCCGGGCTCCTTGATTCACTTTAATGATTTTTATAATCTGACTATAAAAAGACATGAAAAAAAAATGACTCTATGCTTAGCTAAGTTATACCTACAGGTTATGAGCCGAGTCCATCTACCTTCAATATTAGAAAAACAGCGGAAAGGGTAGCTTTGGTTTATTGAACCAACTTTGTATTGTTTAAGGAAATATTACCATACTTAACGTAATAACGATGGAATTGCTTGACCCAATTCATATTCAACTTAAAATATAATGCAATGCTTGTCAATGAACGGTTTATTAGAATGCTGTTGGCGCAAATCCTATCCATGATATTCAAAATGTTTGAGCAAAAAATGGAATACGATCTACACTGGCCAATTATTCGCGGATATTGGTTAAGAAAAATGAGCATAATATGTAAGAGAATTATATTCTGCCGCGATCGAATCTCTTGTAATCATGAAAAAATTAAATTTCCATACTCCACAACATTAGGTGAGCGCGGCCGACTCTCTCTCTCTTTCCTTTTTACAATAAAAGTGCGGATATACATCACCTCTTGCCTGTTGGCCATGGAAACAAGGAAAGCGAAGTTTTTCTCAAATTTTGTTGCATGCATGGGTGTATGGGTGTATGTATACCATTGATACTACACAGTTCAGCAGATGGACAGATGAGTAGATGGACGGACGGACGACTGGATGGATGGATATTCTTAAGTACGTTCCGAAATTGATATTGGCCAAGAATTTATATACTTTATGGGGGTTTTTGAAAATTGGACAGGTATAGCCGATTATTATAAAATTTGTACAGATATTGTAACATCGCCCAAAGAATATTCTTCTAGACTTTTTTAGATTTATCTTCATTTTTGGGGCCAGGAGAACGTTCACAACAGACATCATACAGACGGACAGATGGACATGCTTAAATCCATCTAGAATTTGATGGTGATCAAGAATATTTAGAGATTTTCGAGTCTCTGAAGTCCTTTTCTGGTCGTTACAAACATTTCGACAAACTGAATATATCCCTCCTACTCAATCCTTCGATAATGGGTATAATAAAGACTAATGCTTCTTCGCATTCCTAAGAACGAAAGCCGCGAACTTGCTTTAAAACTAGGCACCGTTTTAACAGCAGTTATCTGCAACCTTACCAAATATCTGGTAACAATGCCGGTCGTAGCATAAGTTTTTATCCTCGGACACGAAAGGGGACTTTTCTGATGCCAATTCAAATATCGAACAATGACTTTATATAAAAATATCCCACTTACCGCTGGTTTGTGTAAGAAATTGAAAAAAAAAAAAAAAATGATCTTAAGATCCCTAAATTTTTTATGCATTTTTTAAACATTATATTATTATGTATTTATTTTTATTTTCTTCTTTTTTTTTTTTTTGTTTTTAAGAGAAATTTGCTTTACTCTTAAATATCTTTTTCCAAAAGATTTTCTAGTCTTTTTCATACTTTTATAAGAATAGAAGCGCAGAATTAATGAACATATCTTTTATTTTAACAAATATGTATGTGTGGTTAGTAATGTGATGGCAAACACTTAAGATTTTAATTTTTTTAATCTCTATTTGTTTAACAAAATTAAAGAAAAATTTGTATAGTTTTCTTGATTAAATTTAAAATAATTTTTTTTAAGAAATTATTTTTGAAAAGAAGAAAGGGAAACCGAAAAGGTGTATAATTAAGTCATATCTGGATGGACTTAAATAAATGTATGTAGCATATATATACACATATATATGTGTATGTATATGTCTATATGCACTAATATATATATATATATATGTATAAGGAAATATATGTATATGTGTATATGTGCATACATTTATATATACCCATATATATACATACATACATGCGTATATATATTGAATACATCTATATTTATATATATATATATATATATATATATATATATATACGTCTACATATATATGTATATGTGTAGAAAGTAAATTACATAATTATGCTGTTTTATTTTTATTAAGTTACGATTAAATTAATTAAGTTTGAAATAATATTCGGATTTTACTGCTTTTCGTACATAGCTTCAACGCGAAATTCCAAGATTTGTTCGCAATTCCTTTTACGTCAAAAATACGGACTTTAAGATAAAGCTGACCTATGCCGACTCTTTAAGAAGGTATTAGACTACAGTCTTCCATATAATTATTGGTGCTATATGTATATGAATATATCGGGAAAAAAAAAAATCTAGAAAGTTACCCCCCTTTTTATTTTGTTCTACACTAGGCGCCTAAGACACGTTACAAATTTTCTGTGGCTGTGGCTGTTAACATGTATCCGCCGCACTTCAGTTTTCCATCACCTTATCGCAAATTGTGGTAATCTTGTGCTGATTAAGAATGTATACCCTTTGTACCGAGCCTGACCACCGGTTGACAACGTAGTTGAAGAAAAAATTTTTACCGAAGAAACTCCCAAAAAAATGTCGCCTTATCTACTCAATTTTTCAAAGTTAAAGTCGAATGCAATTACGTCCTTCAATGTGTTCTTTAGAGGTAATTCAGGCTTTTTTATGTTTGTAAAGGTAAAATTAATGAAAATCGAAAGGTTTCGCTTAACATATCGAGTAGGGTATTATAGAGGACTACTCCAAGATGCTTTTTTATGTAGTCGAAAGAATTTTAATGGTTCACCAAATCGAAGCATTCATTTGACGCTTACGGAAAATCGGATATAACCTCACATTAACTGTCAAATTTTTCAAAATAATTTTCAATTGAAATTTACTTTCCTTTCCGCTTTGAAACTATGTATGCCATATTATCTAATATATTTTATACATTTTTTCCATAGTTTTTTGAAAAAATTAAGGAAAATTATTCAGAACTTAAATATAAAGTCGATTCATAACTAATTTTCGATAGAGCTACGTGGAAGTGCTATTGGCCATATTTTCCCAATATAAGTCACCGAAACAAACGAGCTTTTCTTTTCACTATATAGATGAGTTAGTTAATTAGTTAGTTAGTCCTTTGTCAACTGTTGTATGTGGTGCATGTATGTTTTTCTTCACCTCCGGAATGGAAAGTCAAAATTCGATATATAATGATTTGGAAAATTAAACAAGGCAACAGCGCTAAGGCGATAAGTGAACAAATATGCACCGTATACGGTGAAGGACTGATAGCTGATCGGGCAGTTAGAAATTGATTTGGAAAATTACGTGACGGCACGTCCTTCCGATTTTGATGACGACCTTTTAAAGGCAATATTGGAGCAAAATCCATGCCAATTAACAAGAGGTATAGCGAAAAGTTTGACTTAACTTAATAAAATTTTGTTACTTAATGAAAACAAAGGAAAGTTACTTATGACTCGACCTAGCCTTTCTGAACTAAATCCAGAAAAAATCAGTGAAATTATGAACTATTGATTTCAGCCAGTTTTGGCCGCATATCTCTCGAGCAGTAATAATTTTACCTTTTACCAGGCAAAAGCAGGTACCGTGGAAGGCTAAGATAAACGCTGCCTTTGGTTAATAATAATCAACTTATGTGTGTGTGTATGAATAATTGTACAGAACTTCTTATGTAACTTCGAAGCTTCATTCAAAGAAATTGATACAATGTATTCAAATAAAGAAGTCACAATTTTATCTTCTACCCTACAGTAATATAATTGCAATCTCCCTTACCGAACCGAATCAAACTCATTTTGTACTTTGAATACTTTATTTTGATTGCTTTTTAGCTTCATAGCTCAAATGCTATAAGCCATTGGTTGTGTGAAATTTCGGTATGCAGAGAGTTGAATCTCCAAAATGCCCTTTACCGACATTTGATCGGCCCATCGTCTCGAAGATTCAAACATTTAAAGACTAAATATTACACTGTAATCAAAGTTGATCAATTAGATCCTCTTATTTTTAATACGATCGAAAGAGCATGAGTCTTACGTAGGGATAAAAAGGCAAAGACTTTGTTTTGCAAGATCTTTTTCATTTCTTAAAAGGTAACCACGTTTCACTTTGTTTGTAGAATTAATGCTTAAAGTCACACAAACTAACTTGAAGAATTTCAAAAATTTGTATCTTAAGTTATGCACGATTTAATCTACCTTCACTATTTACATCGAACAAAGCAAGCTTTAAGACATTTGATGACTTTAGAGATCAGGCATAAGCAATAATCAACTTTTTTAGAATATAATAATAAGTTCTTTAGGAATGTTTGCAATTTTTTCCCATGGATTTATACATATGTATGTAACAGTTTTGAAAAATTTTTTTTAAATGAAATTTATAGCATTTTTAAGAAATTTCTTCGGATTTTTTGTAATATTTTACAAAGTAAAGTATAGTGTGGCGTGTAAAGTAATTCTAGAATTGAATAATTTAATTATTAAAAATAATATGAAAAAGTGTAAAAAAACCTGAAAATATTACAATATGCAATTATTTTTAACATTTTGACAACACATACGAGAGAACATAACATTGACGAACAAAAACAAATTCTTTTCAAATAATTATTTTTTTACAAAATATAAAATCCAAAAAGGGAATATACATACGCAAACTTAATAATTATAAAATAAATATATATTTAAAATAAAATATTGTAAAAAATAAATATCACATTTTTCTGTTACAAATGAATGAATAATGTTTTCGGCTCTCTGAGATGTATATGCTTAAACTATTCAAAAACAAAAAAAAAAAAAAACAAAAAAACAAATACTTATTGATTATTGTGATAAGAGATTAATAGCAAATGAAATGAAAAATATTTCTTTGCATTACACATTTATATATTTGCGTGTATATGACATTATTTTCTCCTCTTATCGTAGTATTGTGTGAATACATTTCCAATCATTTAATTTATTAAACACATGTACATGCATTTTTTTGTTGTTTTTTTTTTTTTGTTTTAATATCGTTATGTTTTTAATATCACTGTGAAAAGCATTCCCTTTTATGTGTAAAGATTGATTATTTTTTCAAATATAATATAATTTTCTTAGGCTCTTCCATTTCACGCTATATTTAGGGTTAATATTTAATTATTTATCATAATTTTTCTTCCTTCACAGTGGATAACCTAACGCTGCCGACAGTAAAGGTTCCCAAGAACGATTTATTTCCATATATAATGTTGTACATTGTTCAGCAACTAAATCATCTTCATCTAAAACGGTTATCGGGAACAAATCATTCTATTGAAAAAAAAACAAAGAGAATAATTTTTATTAAATCCTTAATGTGTAAGTTTATGGGAAAAGAAATTTAAAGTCACCAAGTCTGACTACAAAATATTTCACATCACACACATGCCTAGTCAAAGTCTTTATCCAAGTTCGTGAGAAATTATCAAAAATTAGGTTTAGTTGCTATGTGAAAAATTATTTTGCCTGAAAATCCTATCTAATCTAAATTTATGTAACCGAAACTTATCATAGTCAGTTTGTACATCAATTCCTTACTTTGTACTAATTTTCATTATAGAAAATTAATAATTAAAACTTATTGCCGTGCGACAACCATTTCCCATGGAAGAGGTTGTATGAAAGGTGATTCAGCAAGTAAGGAAAGTTAGTTCAAGCTAAGTTCATAAACTAATTTCCATCATAAAATATTCAACGGTACGTTTTCTTGTTATCTACAGACTTTTTCTTGCACCCATGTATAGATGGTTGTGACTCTAGAATCCATTTCGTACGGTAAAATGCTACGTTTCAACGATTTTGGTTGACATCTAATAAAAATGAAAAATTGCTTTTAAAATAATAACTTTTTCAGGATAGAACTTTATGATGAGGTTGGCCTTAGATGTTATCCTTTGCCGTTAGCTTTCATTCTTGATGTCAAATATGTCAATCGAGGAGATTTCATCATAATCTCGGGAAAATAGCGATCTTTACGAGGAACACACAAAGGCTTGGACGGACATTAGACGTTAGGTCTACCAGAATTCACGTCAAGTATAACGGAATATAACGATTCATTGCGAGCCAAAGCATTATAACTTTTGAAGATTAGAAGAATTATAAAAACACTGTTAACTTAAAATCTTTTTCCACTTTAAATATCTTCCTTTTCTTCGCTTGCATTTATGCATAAATACAATACACTCAAACCTGCTTTTGTGTGGTCTTTTTTTGTGCGTTTATGGGAGTCGCTAGTTACCGCATAAAAACAAATACCTTTAAATTTGCATGTTGCGTGCGAAACCTATTTTTTTTTTATAGCTACACTCAAACCTGTGTTTGACCGTCTTTTTTTGTGCGTTTTCGATCGTAAAACAAATTTGAAAGTAATTTGACAAAACTAGTGCTAATGTGTAATCAGTTTCTTGTCTGATTATTCTTAACTGTACGATAGTAGGGAGTATAGTATAATAAAAAAAAAACTAGGAAATTGACGTCTTCCGATCCGATTGATTTTTCATATATATCTTTTGTTAGATTAATATTGAACGTATAGAAAAAAGTAGGTAAATGGTACGTTCGCTCATAGCAGTTACACGAACGATATATACCTCATACGTGATGAATGACCACAAAATGCAAATTCGATCGAAACCGAATTTATTTCTTATTTCTCATTTTTGCTTACATTTTTTGCTTGCCACAATTGCTCCAAAAGGCGCAGGAATCGTTGCATTTCAGCGCTACTTGCGAAGAATATCACTAAATCATCTGAGCATTCACGAACTTCTTGGCATGAGAATTCCAAAACACACCACCACGTATCATTATGAGATGGTATTTTAATGCCAATCATTTCTTTAATATCGGCGCATGTTAAAATTTCTAAACCTGAATTTTTACCGTAAACGCTATTCATTGAAATTTGCCCTTCTTTCGTTTCGACTTGCGCCTGCTTCGAAAATGTTGCTGTCGATATTGTGGAATTAGTTGTAGCATTACTGGCCAAAGATGATCCTAAGGTAGTGTTATACGTTGTGGTCGAGCGTGAAAATTGTGATAATTTAGTGGGCGTAGAATTGATCGAAGAACAGGATCGCAAAGTACCACGTGTTGGTGTGCTCATGGCCGAACTTAACTGGAAGAATTAATCAAATGTAATCGGTTGTAAGATTACTATTTATTAAATGAATTACCAAACTTCCGGTATCCGGCATAAAATGCGGCAGTTCCTCTTCAAATTTTGTGTTAGTTATAGCAGCAGCACTGTTCATTATGCCCTCATGAGCAATCGATTCAATTTTCTTATTAAATTGTTTAAGGGGTGCCGAGAAATCTTCTCGCAGTGTTATTAAATGATTTTGTGTCACCACCAATGTGCAACCCAGTGTCTTGTGTTTTTCCTGCATCTCAAAAAGCTGCAAATCATTAAAGAAATTTTTACTTGTGTAACAACATAACAACAAACAACATGTCGAATAATTTACCCCACTAGCCGATTGTAGTAAAGCCTGCAACCACTCTGAAGCAACGTACTCATCCGGAGCAGCTAACTGCAAAAGCATTTTATCCTTGAGCATAATTTCAAAGCAATGAGGTCTTCCCGCTTTCACTGCTCGTCTAGCACCTTGACATTCAGCCAAAGCCATTGCCCAACTGGGTATTTTTTGTGTGGAATCATTAAACATATATAAAACACCAGCCCTATATAAAAATAAAGGAAAAATAAAAACATTCTTCCTCATCACATTTTTGCAAACTTACTTTAACAAAAAATAGCCCGGGTTCCACAGTTGATGCTTCGACGTACTGATGTGATCTCTCGTACGCCGATGCATTAAGAAACCTTTAGCATGCGGTCCTAAAGGTTCTTGTTCACCGCCCTCGCCCAATGAAGAACCTGGCATATTAACAACCGCGTAATACATCCAGCTATCACTTTTACCTACACATGAATTTGCGCGCACAAAGTCCTGCAAGGGTACCAAATGATTTAAAGTCAATTGACCGACAGCTGGCAATATGGAGCCATGACGCCGAGCACACAATTCTAGATTAGCTACCAAACTGTCTGCTGAATAAGGTCCGCCTGCCAATAAAACTTGTTGCATATCGCGGGTGCTATTCGAAAGCAGTACCGTATTGCCATAAGGACCAGTCTATAAATGGTAAAATATTATGTAAAAATAGTTCACCCTTTAATTTCATGATTATAACTAACAAGTATGACATCTAAATCCTTATAAGCCAGGATAAATTTTGAGCACAATCGATTACGCACCAAATCTGTAACATATAAAGTTTTGTCCGTTAAAAAGACTAATACCGGTGTCATGTAGCCTTCTTTGCTATAGCCGGTATAAAGTTTAAAAGCTTTCATTAATATTTCCGATGCATTTAGAAGAAAATTTAAATTGCTGCCAATAAAAACGTCGACCGATATTTCGCCAATGCCTAATTCGAAACGTGACAAGTCTCCGGGTAAATCAGATTCCAAATTAGTGAGTTCGCGTCGAGGAGAATTCACACCAGACATTTCTATTTCCATCGCTATCTCGGCATTTAAATCTTCGATTAATTCTATGTTGCGAGGTCGAGCACCTTTTACATACAAATTGCCGGTAAATAATTTTTGTCCAGTTTTCAGTTTGTGCGCAAAAAAATTGTTACGTTTAATAGATGATTCCAGTATTTTCTTTTGTGTAACATTTCGCAAAAAACGATTTATTAGCGATGTTTTGGCCGGCGGCTGAGGAGGTTTTAAAAGATTAGCATAATCAGCGCTCGATTGTCTATCGCTGACTTCTGGATAATCAACAATGATAATATCACTTTCATTCTTATCGGTGTCCGTCGTTACGGTCAGAATATCATCGAATTCTTCACTTAGGATAGTGCTTTTAGAGTCACGGCCACTACCGCCGCGAGCGATATTATAATGGCTGAAAAGATCGGGTGACAAAAGTGTTGGATCCGGTTGCGGTGCACTCACCCCATAACGCTGAGGTGCATTTTGTTGAATAAGATTAGAACCTGATGCACTTAAGCGTTTTTTGAGAGGCGATGGTATATGACGCGATTGTTTCTCCAAATTAACCCGTAAATCGCATCCAATGGCGAGGCTTTCACGTTGATTACAAGAACCTGAAGTACTTACGCTACCACTGGCTATGCCACTGGTTAAGGAAGAATTTGATTTAGTTGTCTGCTGCACCAGTTGAGCCATATTAGTGGAAGAAGTATTATCCATGATACTCGAAATATCCGAAATAGTAGAAGAAATTTTCGGAACTTTATAGGGCGTGCTGGTAGAAAGCGATTGTGCATTTGTTTCCCATTTTCGCGGCATTTTAAGAGCTAAGAAAATATAAAAAGCAAAATGTTTAGAAAGTTCGCGAAACTATCAAGCTAGTTAGGATAATTTAGAAATGAACTCAATTAACATACCAAAATAATTATCGGTAGCTTCTTGCCATTCTTTTGCCTCTTGATCTTGAATTTTATGTTTTGCTTCCGTCTCACGATTATTAGGTTTTATGCCTTTGGCACTACTTTTATCTTTTCCCGTATCCTTAAAACTGCGAAAGAAATTGGAAAATGTCTTAGCTATAGGAGCCGACATGAAAGCATTACGTAACTGGTCGGGTTCTGGCTGGGCAAATGGTGTATCTTTCTCAATTAAGTCAGCAATGTTACCACACGAGTCCTCCATGCAAATAAGATCGTTAAATGATGACGATGATGATTCGTAACTATACGAAACGCCTGTATGTTCGAATACAGTGCTCTCACAATTTATAATGAATTTATTACGAAATGGTGTATTGTCGGGCTCAACGGCAGCTAAACTGTCAGTGACCAGCGAGCTCATATCATTATCATTATCATTATCAAATTCATTTTGCCTCTTCAGTTGTGGGGTGTTACTATGTTCAGTTTCCTTCAGTTGACTTTCGCTGCTATTGTCTCGGGTTGGCGCATACATTTCTTCTTCATTTCTGCGTCTCAATTGTTCGTCAACATTGTGCACAAATTTTTTAACGGGTTGTTGCTGCTTAGAACCATCTAAGCTTTTGCTGAGAAATGGTTTCGTTTTCAAGGGCGGAGAGTCGGGAATTTGCTTAGCATTGAATTCATTTTTTTGATGTTCGGGTGTCTGCTCAGGTTCGGGCACACATTCAATAACAGCTTGTAAATCCTCCGAACCTTCAGGAACGCCACGCTCAGGCAACGGCATAGTAAAAATACTTTTCAATGAGCCAAATATCATTTTGCTGCTATTGTCCAATAATTGATTCACATCGTGAACATTAAATTTTTTCACTTTATTACTAAGATCTTGTTCCTGTATAACATCAGTATGAAATTTCGTTTTCTTCAAACAACTTGATTTCGGTTTTTTCTCCTTATTCCAGACAGATTTTTGACGTGGAGGGCTATTATTTGAACCAATATTGGGTTCTGAGTAGTAGCAATTTTCGCCTAAAAAATGTTAAACACATTAGTAATCATTTAAATATAATTTTTAATTTTTTTTTTTTTTTACCTATAAAATTATTGTTGTTGTTGCTTACGCCAATACAATCACAAGAACTGCTTTTAGCTTGCTCATATTGATGGCAATTGGAATTTTTGTCATTTTCATCGGAATCCAAGCTGGAATTGGAGCTGGAACAAGAACATTTGTAAAGCTCTGGATTAAGATTTTTCTTTGCATTTAAAGCAGTAGCCAGCTTTGCCACGTTGTTATCTGTCGCTGTAGTGTATTCAAAAACTCCCGAATTATCATATTGCAAACAATTATCATCGTTCATATCGTAGACGTCCGAGTTCCCATAGTCCAATACATCGGAACAAGCATTACGATAAACAATACGTCGCCGACCATTAGCCGCGTCGCCGCCTTGAGTGTCTTCATCACCGTTTTGAGGGAGTTCGGTAGGTTCTGTCTTATCACCCTCTGAACACCAAGAGTAACGTCCGGCGCCACTGACCTGTTGATTCATTTTCCGTATACCGGCCTTGTAAGTAATGAACCCGTGCTCTATATGTATATTATCTGTACGAGTATTCTTCAGAATATCTTCGTGAAACGAGACACGCTTTTTCGGAGCCTTGGCAACCGCTGGCGTTTTACGCACTTTTCGCCGATAAACTATATTTTCCGTGGTATCGCCAAAAGTCGAAATTTGACTGGTGGTCATGGCCTCTTCAACTCCCGCCGATACTGCCGATATTGCGGTCACATTAAAATTTGAATCGACAACGGCGGCCTCTTCCGGTGCACCAACAATCGAAGATGATTTAGTTTTCTCAATAGCTATTGTGATGCACTTTGCATCCTCAAATTCAAAGCCCGTCTGCGAAGTTATTGAATCTATCATCAATTCGCTTGACTCTGAATCCAACATTTGTACACCCGAATCGCTGGGAGTGGTATCATCTAAAGTGCCGCTCTGAATGCTGGCAGACATTTTGTCGGCATTGTTTACATTCGCTGCACTAATCGAAGTATTCAAATCCACTCTCTTCAAGGACCCCGGCGTTGTTGATAATTTTGATTCCATGCTCTTGGCCGCAAAGAGCGGTGATTCCATTACGACATCATAAGCAGTCGGCTGTCGTTCAGCAAGGGTTTCTGCTTTGTCGTTATTTTATATTATTGAAGAGTAAATAAATTTTTGTATTTTATTTTTAAAGAAAGCAAGATCGTCTTTGGTTTTATTATTATTGTTATAATTATTTTTAATGGAATTAAGCTTTTTCTGTTGGTGTAATGCAGGATTAAAATTTTTTTTTTTTTTTTTATGTGCAGCCAATTATTTGATGTGTTGTTAAGGCATGTGATGGTTGATAAAACTCTTAAGAATAGAAGTCAAAATAAAAAGAATTAAAATTTTCGCATAAATAATAAAGGCAAATAATTTTTAATATAAAAATTATAAGTCATTGATTTGTAAGATATATATCAATCGAAATAAATCTAAAAACGTTCAAAAGCTTTGCTAGAAAGAACTAGAAAGAAGATCAAGAAAACCAAGCTCAAACAAATTCTACGGTTTCTTAGTCACGACATCCTCAAAAATTATGTTCGATTTGTGTAGGTTTTACAATACATACAACTAGGCATTGCAGTTACCATGTAGCAGTTACATAGCTCCCTTTAGGACAGCAGGCTTATGTGCTGCGAAACATAGGCTGTCTGTCCATTTTTTAATCTCGCCAGATTGAGCTCAAAAATTAATCTAAAACTTTTTTAATTTTGGAAATAAGCTTAAGAGATCCCCCAAATTGTATATGTGTATATATTCCTTATCGTATATATATTGCTACATATATTCTGTAAAATCAATTAAAAAACCTTCCTTGTTTCACAAACGCTTGTAACTTTTTCAAAAATAACGATTAATGGATTTCTCCAAGAAGTTGCTTACAATTATCAGGAAATTGTTTGTAAATATTACTTATGAAGAGCTGGAAGATTTTCTAAATATATTTCAAATATGGTAGATTCGTTCGTGATATCACATGTTATATTCAATTTAAATAAGTTATAATAATAATAATAATATTTTCTTGCACTATCATGTTGAAAAATCTTATTCATTAAGATTAAGGGTCTTGACAACCATTTATCATTTTTCTCCTAAAAAGTCAGAGCCATTGCCCAAATATTATTCATAAAGATTAAGAGTCTCGACAAATGTTTTTCACTTAAAATCTAAAAAAACTTCAGTCTCATGTATCTAAATTGCTTTGTCTTTTCCTTCAGGCAATCACTTCACCGGATAACTGCATTAGAGCTGCTATTAATCTTGCTCGTTGGAGTCATTCTGATGTTTCTAGGATCAACCAACCTTTTAATTACCAGACCCGACAAAAATAGCCTCTTTATCAGCGTTGAACGCATTTTCTTACCCCGCCTTAGGCCAAAAAGAAGACGATTCTCCTTGGGGACATGCTTGGCTGTTCAAAAACAGAAACAATTCCGAAAAATCGCTTTTCTGTTCGAGAACACTAGGCTCTTGATACTTGATCATTTCATATTTCTCCAGTTATGCTATGTATGTACATGTATTATTATGGTTGTTATTAATTTATTGAGAGATATCAATTCTAAAAATAAAGTCATCCGCCTGTGTGGCCGAAGACGAGGAATCTCGATTCGCAACACAATGGTCGTGGGTTCAAATCTCAAGTGCGGTAGAGTTTTTAATAAAGTCGAAAGCCTTAGATGCTAGCGCTTTAAGACTTTAGTCTTAGAATTTATTCTCCGACTAAAATTTATAATAATAATAAAAATAAAGTCGAAAAGAATTATAAGCTATCATAAAAGGCTATCGGTTTTGTTGAGAACTCCACCGCCTTCGACATTTGAACCGACGATCATGCATATGTGTAAATAGTTGCCTTCTTTTTTCAATTTGTACTTTTTTCTCTACTCCTTTAACTAAATACATGCTTAACTTTTTAACCTCAGAACACCTTTCGGTACTTATATGATCCAGCAATCCGGCGCCTTTTAATCATATTTGGTCAATTTATTTACAAAATATATGGGTAATAACTAAATAAAAAACGTCAGCGCAATTGACTTATTAAGTTTAACAAATCGTTAAGGATATGTTATGAAAAAAAGTAAGATAAATATCCGGTAAAATAAATATTGGAATAAATCTTTAATTTATCGTAATTGTAACATACAATAAATGTTTTAGAGAAGACAAATGCCCTCTCTAAGCTCTGTTTACACAGATCAAATGAGAATTTTTTATAATTGCATTTTTCAATTACGTAAGTATTAAGAAGAACAAAGAGTATTACACAGCGAGAAAGAGATTAATATGCGATTAGGGAAGAAAGCGCCCGTTCGAACAATTTCGGTGATATCGCATACAATATTTATGCTTTTTTACCCAAATAGATCTAAAGTAGCTATAAAGGTGTTTGATAACCTATAAAACGCACCTAAATCTTGGCTTTATATCTTTTATAGTGCGATATTGTTATACTAACTATATGTCCAGCGTTGCTATTGTCCATGGCTACACCAAAAGAGACTCCATAGTCTTATTGGCTTTTCAATTATTATTATTGTATTATTATTATTGGTTCAGCTTAATTTAATAATTAATAATAAACTAAAATATAAAAAATACTTTATCATAAAATTTTTTAGGGGAGTGCAGTTCCCTTGCGAATGATGTCGACAAATAATACGCATTTTATTAAAAGCCTGTAACTTTTTTCCTTTTATTTTTAATAAAAACCTAACAGCTACTGCATTACTACACATCTTTGTCACAGAGTGTATAAGCGCATATCATCAAGAGTAAAAAATCAATAAATAGTATAATGCAACGAAAGGATAGAAAACTAAACTGTAAATGTGGTTTATATATGGTGAAAAGTACCGGCTTGAAACTTATTAATATTTAACTTTGTTTAAATCCCCCTAAATACCATTAGAAACTAATACAAGTTAGCTAACAATACTTTACGGGAAAGAGGTAGAGGCATCGCTTTTTTTAAGTCAAAAAACTATTCAAAAATATTGTATTAAATGCGTTTTTTTTATGCACTAATAAATACTAGTTAACTGCAATTTAAAATCATTTACACCGCCACCTCCTCCGTTTACCCGTCTCCAACTTCCATTATTACCTCTTAAGTAGTGCGTTGTGCACCCAAAGAAAATTGATTTTTTTCATAGAAGAAATCTTGGAAGAGAATTTTCCTTTTCGTAGAATATATTTTTTTTTCTATTTTGTATTCTATTTACCTTCAATCTGTTGTGGAAAATCCATGACACATTTTAATGATTGTTTTTACTTGCTTTATTATATATTTTGTACTACATGAATTTATTAACCAATATTATGCACACATTATTATATTTCGCTTTATAAAAGTTTTTTTTTTCTGTTTTTTTTGCTGCGAGCTCTCTCTGACCAACTGATATTATTTGCTTAAGATTTTCACATCAATAACAATCAGCGTTGTCGTAAAATGGTATTATTTCGCAAAGAAGAAGAAGAACAAGACGAATAAATATTGTAATCAAAATTTTTTTAGAAGGAGATCAACCTTTTTTGATCTATTTATATTACACATGATAAGAAAAAGTTTGTCTTCAGTTGAGAAGTGCTTTACAAAGCATTTCATTATAATTGTGTTCAGTAAAAAAGTGTAATGAATGAAACAACAATGTTTCTTATTAGGAAGCTTCACTTCACATTAGAAAATTTATTTCTTTAACTATAGGCAATAGGAATTTTATAGCCTTTATTGTCTTTATCTAATATGATAATTTTGGCTTGAAATTAATTGATTTTAACTCGGCCTAAGCTTATCGGATTATTTAGAGTTTCTTATATTATTATTATTATTATTGTCATTATAAGTATTAATTTAAGCAGAGAAAGACTAACGTCTTAAGGCACTAACAGGCTATCAGCTTTGTTGAAAACTGTACCGTACTTTAGAATTGAACCCACGTCCGTCCTTGTGCCTAAATAAATCGTTCGCTTTGGGAATAATTATCATTTTTGTTTTTAATGATTTCTTCGCTCGTATGTCTACTGAATTCATGGACTAGTGTAGTTCGAATGTTTATAGTTGGTGGGCTGATAACGAGAACCTTAATCCGACGGAAGTATCATCGATTTCTCTGCAATCCCATTTGAAATGATCAAACCACCGACAAATTGCTATTTTAGATGCGAAAACGTGGACAATCAATCCAAAGCTGATTTTTAATGATAGTTTGCTACGAAATTTAATCGTTTGAGACTCATCACTTTCTAAAAATGACATAGATTTCTCTTTCCTCCTTCCCTATAATCCTTCCACTCGCCAAGGGACTAGTCAAAAAAAAAAGTTTACAACATAGCGTCTAAATTGAAATATTTATTTTTGTGAACAACAAAAAAATTTTCGATTTTAAAAACCCTCAGTTGTGGCTTGCAAAAGGTTGCACAACAAAAAGCCAAATTTGAAGGATGTAAATGAAGATATTAACAACCAGATTGTCTACAAAAATATGGCTCGAAAGCAAAATCATTTGAAGAGCAAAATAACTGCGTCCTTTTATTTCGGGAACGAGCTACGAAAGTTAAGTTTTGCGCCGAAGATAATACAGAAAATTTGAAAATCCCGTTTTAGAAAATTGTGGTTGGTCTTAGATTGCGCAAAACTTTAAATCTGAAAATGCTTGTCATTCTGGCCGACCAATCACTATAGAAGTTAATTATATCAACTTAAGTTGAGGAGACCAATCATTATTGATGTTAAGCATATCGAGATCTTAGTTGGTCCGCCAAAGCCACATCAGTTGCTGGGAGGAATTTTCAAAATCTTGAAACGGTAGACTAGTCTAAGCCAATTATGTTCTATAAGATATGATTAATAAACTCAAGTTAAAGTGGTGACTTAAGTGAACTATTTTCAGTGGGAATAATTTTTTACAATTAAATGCCGCAACAATGCAATTGAAGAAGGTCTCTTGATGTTCTTATCAAAATCTAGGCTTAAATTTGAATATCCCCTTCTGCGAAGCTATGTAAGGACTTAAGTTGGCGACACTAATCATTATTGATGTCAAGCATATCGAGATCTTAGTTGATTTGCCAAAGCTACATCAGTTGCTGGGAGAAATTTTCAAAATCTTGAAACGGTACACTATTTTAAGCTAATTATGTTCTATAAGATGGGATTAATATGATTAGTAAACTCAAATTTAAGCGTTGGTTCAAGTGATCTATTTTCAATACGAATGATTTTTGACAATGAAATGTCGCAACAATGCCACTCAAGAAGGTTTCTTCTTTTTCTCTTAATATACGATACCGAATATAAAAAAATGAAGTATGAATCCTGTTCATAAATTTTAGTGCAACATTTCGATACGATAAAAAGGATAATTACCCCTTCTTTTTTTTTTTTTTAATAACGACCCTTGCAGAAAATAGTTAATAAGCGATGAAGAACGCTTATAATTTGTATATTTGAAGCATAGTTTAAAACCGTCTTGACATAATTGCTCGGGAATGAAAACAAAATAAAAGACATAAGATTTGTTTTTGTATTTACATTATTTGTCATTCATTATTCTCCGTTATAACAATTGTGTCATTTGAATGGTAAAATTTTTAGTTGAAGATGTGCAATTGAAGAAACCTTAGAAATGAATTTCTTTTTATTTTGTAAACTTACTCTCCAAATAAGAAACCGTAACGTGTATCGCAAATAATAATTTTTTTTTATTTTCTTTTTTAATATCAAATTTAATAAATTAATATATTATATAAAATAATTAAATTGCGTTATATTTGAAATTTATTAAAATTTAATAACCGTTACATTCGCAAATACAATAGAATTTCTTAATAATGACTTAAATTGTGAACAAACTTCTTACGTTTATTTCTATTGAAGATTTTTTGTTGTTGTTATTGTTATTGCTTTTCTAAAAAAATCTTATCTTAATGTTGTTGAAGCTTGAATAAATTAAAAATCAAAAAAAAAAAAAAAAAAAAAAAAAAAAAAAAAAAAAAAAAAAAAAAATTCATAATGTGGACATTTACACAAAAACTTCCGCATTATAAATATTTTATAATATTAACGGCTTATACTTACCTTTTGGAAAAATCAATATTGCTGTGCAATTGTGTTCATGGCTTTAGGTGATTATAACGAATGCATATTTAATTTATAAATAATAACATAAAATTATTTTAATAAAACAACAAATTTTTATTTGTCTTTAATAATCAAAGATGACGATGACATAACATAACGTATCGCAAAATTTACGCAAGATTTGAATTAAATAAAAAAACAGAATTATTTTTATAGACCACGTGGGGTACATTCAGTTTATCAAGAAGTTTGCTACGTCCAGAAGGAAGTTTCGGTACCAAATTCTGAATCGATTTACGCATGTCCGTCTGTCTGTTTGTGTAATGGCTATAGTAAACATTCTCCGCAAAACCAAACTTGGCGAAAACGTTGGACGTTCTTGCACTCAAAGTGGTATTGAAAACGAGTCAAATCGGTTGAAGGACACCTCCACAGTACCACGTAAACCACGTACTGTTTTTCAAAAGATATAATAAATTGGTTTTTTGCTCATTACTCATAAACTGAAAGAGATAAATGTATAAAAATTGTCACATATATTCTATGAGCGATGCTGTAGTACATGCACAAAAATGGGAAAAATTGACCACGTCCGTCTTATATTCAAACTTAATATTTTTTTGCATTATCTTTATAACGTGGAGAAACCAGCTTCAAAAACCCAATAAAATACATAAATTCTTGGGCACTTTCAAATTCAGAATGTCTCTAAGCATGTCCATCTGTCCATTTGTTCAACTGTGTAGTATCTGTTGTAAACATTCTCTCTCGCAAAATTGTAGATATGGCCATGCCCGACCAAATTTTAGGGAGTATAGAATTGTAGTTCTTTTCCATTTTTCTAACCTTTTTTGTTTAGCGGTGTTAGGTACAAAAATATTTTCCTTGGTTTTTAATCGTGATTGGATCATAATGTATGAGGTTATAGGTACGCACAACCTTCGAATTTAAATAAAATCATGAAAAGAAATCCAATAGTGTCCTATCGCATGATTTCGGCGGTCATTTCTAATTTCACGACCAGGGATTGTCTCATGCGGTAGTTGAATTCTTTCATGGGATATGACATCGTCTTGTTGAAACCTGATGTCGTGCACATCAATATCATCCAAGAAGTGAATTAACATAGGGCAATATCGAGGACCAGTAACAGTCATGACTTTTCAAGTGTGGCCGGCAAACTTTGATTACTTTTAAGAGATCATTTACCTATTAAAACGCGTTATCCTTTCCTCTAAAGTCCCATTTTTACTAACCTTGAACCGTTAGTTGTCAAAGCGGTTTTTTTTTATGGACCGCCAACACTTTACCGCACAAAAGGCAATAAATTCAAATCTTAAGTAAACTTTGTGATATCCTATATATATATATATACAAATATACATGTATATATATATATATATATATATATATTAATTTCAGAAATAATACCGAAAGTGCCGAATTAGTATCACATTATGAATCAAGTTTGTCATTGCCGGATATACTACCGATACCTTCAAAGACTTATGATAAAAATCGTGCACCAAAATTACTTGGCCAACCGACAGTGGTTTATTTTCACGTCACCGTACTTTCATTAGATTCCATAAATGAAGAGTCCATGGTATTTATAAATTGTTAGTTCGCTATACTATAAACTGCTAAAAGAGACAATTTATTTTTCTTTGTCTTTTATTTTTTTGATGCAGACCTATGTTACAGACATATTTCTAGCACAAAGTTGGCGCGATCCACGCTTAAGATTACCAGAAAATATGAGTGAACAATATCGTATACTTGATGTTGATTGGTTGCATAGCATATGGCGACCGGATTGTTTTTTCAAAAATGCAAAAAAGGTCACCTTTCACGAGATGAGTATACCTAATCACTATCTGTGGCTTTATCACGACAAAACTTTACTGTATATGTCAAAGTAAGCGATATCGGTTTACGATTAAATTTCCAAATTTTGTCTTTGTTTTTTTTGTTGCTCTTTTCTTTTTTTCTTTTTTTTTTTTAGATTAACTTTAGTATTATCATGTGCCATGAAATTTGAATCATATCCGCATGATACGCAAATATGTTCGATGATGATCGAAAGTTGTTAGTAAAGTGCTTTCATTCTAATTATAAATAATTAAGAATAAATATTTTATTTCAGTATCGCATACGGTTCAAGATCTGGTTTTCATATGGAATATGACTGATCCGTTAGTTGTGAATGCGGAAATTGAACTGCCACAATTGGATATATCAAATAATTATACCACAGATTGCACTATCGAATATTCAACAGGTACAAGAATCTATCTATCTATATGCGCTAACTCTACTCCACAGTTTGTACTGTCGAGTATACAAGAGATATCGAGATACAAGAATCTGTTTACCTATAAGCTTTAACTTAGTCTAGATCGTTCGGTGTAGTCTCTGAGTTAAAATTATGTTTGCAAAATTTTTTAATTTTCAGCAAGTGTGTGTGCACGTGCGCAATCCTTTTTTTATACCCTATACCAGTTTGAGTACAAAGATATATAATATTTGTGAGGATGTATGCAACACCCAGAAGGACTTAAGATGGATCCATCTCTTATTATACCGATCAAATTCCGAGTCGATCTCATCTTGTCTTTCCGACCATCCGTCAGATATATTTGTCTTCACAACCTACAAGGCCACAATGCTTGAGGTATTTTGATAAAATCTGGAGAGTTTTGGTCCAAGGACGAATGTTATTGAAAATGGTTCGGATCCGAACACTTTTTCGACCACTTCCCATATAAAGCATTATTTTCAAAAGTCAGTACCCCAATGGCTGTAACATAGTTTAGGTTATTCAATGGCAGGCTGTAGACCGCTATAGTGTCTTAACTTGTTTTTTTTTTGTGGTATAGCAGCCGGTCCATACCATTAAATCTGTCATCCAACACACTTCTTCGATTTCCTTCTTCTGCAAGATCACTGTGTGTTGAGCACTACTTCGGAGAGATAGGTTAAATCCTCCCAGCGCGTTTCTTACTATTGTCTGTTATCTATCCGGCTATTGTACTGTCTATCTCAAGGTTGTTAACCAGGCCGGCAGCGCACTACGAACGTTTTACGGTTCGAAGCGTATGCGTTGAAAAATTTAGGTCATTTGCAAATTTTTTTTTCAACTTTTTAGGCGATGTCATCATTTTCACTAACGGTTCAATGGTTTCTACACATACCGTTCATTTGCACCGACAGACAGATGGACAAACGAAAAGACGGATATGCTTAGGTGTATTCCAAATTTGAAACTGGCTAAGAATTTGACAAAATGAATATATCCTGATTCTTTGGTGAAGAGTATAATGACGGTATGACACACTCTAAAATTAAGGGGGTATGGCCGATACTTTCCATTTTTTAAAAGTACCATAGCATTCCCATACAATCAATTCTCTCTATACCTACCTGCAGTAGTTTATGAGCTTTCTTCTGGGCGTTGCAAAAGTTTTGACAAAATGAATATAACTCTCATCCATCGCTAACGGGTATAAAAATAAATCACAAATCACTGAAATTATAGCCCCAAACTTATAGAGCTTTTGAAGCTTTCAGTTTAATATCACATATATTCTTAAAGGAATGTCATTGCAATATTCGAGAGCTAACTCGTAAAATTACGAAAAATTACTAGTGTATAGATCGATGATCAATGTACAGGCGATTACTATGAAATTTGTGAGTTGATCCCTTTTATTTGTATGTGATAGGTAACTTCACCTGTTTGGCGATTGTATTCAACTTAAAGCGACGTTTGGGTTATCATCTTTTTCATACTTATATACCTTCAGCCCTGATTGTGGTCATGTCATGGATATCATTTTGGATAAAACCAGAAGCAATACCAGCCCGCGTCACATTAGGCGTTACATCATTGTTAACTTTGGCCACACAAAATACGCAGTCGCAACAATCACTGCCACCGGTCTCTTATGTGAAGGCGATCGATGTCTGGATGTCATCGTGTTCGGTATTTGTATTCCTATCATTAATGGAATTTGCAGTAGTTAATAATTACATGGGCCCGGTAGCCACCAAAGCTATGAAAGGCTATTCAGATGAAAATATACATGATTTGGATGATTTAAAGGTAAAATATAATGAAAATTCTTATAATTTATATAAAGAATATTAACAAAGCGAATGCTTTACAGAATCATCATCGTGAGTCCATTATTGAGCCACAATATGATACGTTTTGTCATGGTCATGCCACGGCAATATATATCGATAAGTTTTCACGTTTCTTTTTCCCATTTTCGTTTTTCATATTAAATATTGTTTATTGGACAACATTTCTATAGAATTTATTTGCTTTTACTTAGGTTTTGTAAATTTTTTTTAAGAAAAACATATTAAGCAAATTATATTCGTATTGGCGCAAATCTTTCATCATACCCATCCATCAGACGCATGAAAATTGTAAAGTATTTTGTTACATTTGCTTACGTCAACTGCAAGTTTTTGTTAACGTTGATCTTTATGCATGAAGAACGAGAAGACGAGTGTGTCGACGACTCACCAGCATATAATGGTTGTATTGATAAAAAATTTTGAACATCCAATTAAACTCTAGACGAATCTTCTATAAAAAAAGAAAAAAAAAAAAAACTCAACCCAACAAAATATGAAAAATCTTACTTCTTCATAAGTATTTCTCGTGCAGTTCGTTAAAAGAAAAGAATTCAGCTAAGTGTTTATCCAAAATTATATTGCATTTTTCAATCCACAGACCTAAAGCCATTTCCATTACAGGCTTTTTTTTGAATACTTTTGGGTGTGAAACGCACAGACGATACCTGAATTTAAGGCATTCAAGGCATTTACTTTCATATTTAGTAGTGATATTTAGTATTTATAATGTTATATTTTTGAACATGAAAGGCCCTACACCGACCATACACCACATCCGAATGCAATATGCCAAAAACTATGTTCGACGTATCGAAAGTGTGGTATTGTCGATGAACTACAATAATTTTCGTTAAAACACAGTGTGTATTTTCATTGCATCAGACAGCTCGAACGGTTCAGTCATTAACCCGCTTAAATTGCTTAATAAATGAGGTTGACATGAGGTCAACGATGGCTTGTAATAAACGCAGTCTAGCTATCAATTGACGATTGGAGAACTCGACTTTCATTTGATCGCAATTCAAATCCACTTTGCACACGGCCTCCTGATCTTCTTTCCAGTGTTCCCGTTGCAATAATATACCGAAAGTCAATTTAGTTTTGGGAGTTACTGCCAATTTCGCAATATGTTGAATGAAAGGCATAATCATATCAAACGAAAAATCCGATAATCGAAAATCAAAGTTTCGCTAATAAGCAATTAACAACTCGCTAGGTTTTTATGGCAACTGACAAGTGGTGTGTACTAATTTATCTGGATTTAGTGAGATAGAGAAACTGCCTGCAATATGGTCCAAACGTATCTTAAAATACGGCAAGGGCTCCACAAGGCACTTGTGCATAGATTACTCGCCGTTATTGTATTGTGGTGCTATCCCAATCCATATTGGCAAAAGCTTCAATATAAATTTCTTTGAACTCCCACAATGGGACACCTTGCATCAATTGATCATAATCTTCTACTAAAGGGGGATGCAATTTCGATGAGCTGCTTCCGGGTGTTTTACTAGATACTCCAGGTAATTGAATGTAGTTATCAGTCGTAACCGTTAATGAGTTTCCTGGACATTGAAATTGATCGTTGATTTATCCGGTGTCTGAATTTGAAGTAGCCGTAAAATCGATTGATTCAAAAAAATATTGTAATTACATTTTTAACCTACAACACCGTTTGGGTAAATCGAATAATCACACCGGTTGACAGAATACGCATATGCCTTTGCCTCAGTACCCGTTTTACCACTGCAGTAACATTTGAAAAAATACCGAAATTTCAGATCGAAAGCATATAAAATTTTATTAAACAGTCTTAAACAGTCCTAAACAGTCCTAAGTTTTTCAATAGATAGAAATGACGTCAGGCAGCGCATTAACAGGAGGCATGGATAATCCACTTTCCCTAATATATCATTTATAAGTTTTCCAAATTTGTCTAAATAAGAAAATTAAATTAAATTCACGGGACCATTTCGGTCAAGTTAATCTATCCGATATTGTGCATTCCTTCGGTATCAACTACTCGCCGGCATTTGCACTAATTGCACCGGTGATTTACCTTCTTTGAGGGCTTGTGTCAAATTTAAAATTTGCCCACGCATCACAGCCATTTGTCGTTTAAATAAACGTTTATCAAAACCGCGGTCTAGCTGAAACAAATGGAATAAGTTTGTGCAAATCTCTTTGACGTAATTCATGTCTCCTAATTTGGGGAGTACGTGATCTTTGGTTTCATCACTAAATGGCACTTTTGCTTGCGGCAACCAAGCCCAATGATAGGGATAAGCCCACCATCGGTGCGGAATTCAGGCGAAGCTTTTAGAAAAATTTTCTCAAATCCAAAAGAGGATGAAGTTACACTTTACCCTCACCATTAACTAAAGCTTGGGTGGGCTCACAAAAATTCTCCTTCCCAAGCTTACTCCTTCTTACTCCTTCTGGCTTATTGTATTTGTATTCCAAGCGCATGTATTCAAAGCATGAACTTCAAATTTTGGCAAATTAAACGAGAAGTAAACAACCGAACTTCGAATTTACATCGTCAAGCTTTCATATACGTAATATTGTATGACATTTTTGTTTTCTTGGTTTGCTTACTCAATTGGCGGCTTTAAACTCTGACATTGAACGTATCTTAGAGAAGTTGCTTTTCGCTTTAAATACATTGGATTTCACAATATTTGCAAAATGAACGTATCTTAAATTCCTTCTTTTTGTGCGGAGCCAACATCTGAATTTAAAAGAAAGGTAAAGATATATTTGAAAATTTGGTTATGAAACTTTTATTCACAATAAATCGTGATAATGTGCTTTTCGCCGTCAAACATGGTGTGCCTTAATGGACGCAATTATTCGCGTGGCTGTGGTATAACCCAACATTCTACCCACATTTTGTAGCTTGAAGTTTCTTTTCGATTAAGATCTGCAATAGATTGAAAGACTCCAAAATATTTTTTCTTACTGGGCAAAGGGTACGAATTGAAACTGTTGCCATCAGTTTAAGTTACAGATTACTTCATTCATTTTCAAGAGCACTAGCAGTTCAATAAAATAAGATATGATTAAACTGATCAACAATTTATAAAATTTTTCTTAACGTCATATAACGATAGCAAAGAAATTAATCCTTTGGTGAATTGTATACAAAAGAACTACAATTTTCGAAATGTGTAAATAATTTTGCCATTAAATAAAAAAATTTATTTCATTCATTCTTTGCCTGTACATATTTCTAAATATAGATGTATTGTTAAAATTAAAAAAAAAAAAAAAAACAGTAAAAAATTAAAAAAAAACTATATCTGTAAATAATCGAATAAAAAAAGTTTAATGAAAAGTTATGTTAAACATTAAACGATTCTTTGGCATAACATCGAGTATAAAAAGAGAAAAAAAGTTCTGTTTAAAACAGTGAAACTATTCAGTACAAGTAAGTTATTAGGAATTTTTTTACATATGTTATCGAATCAAAAGTTTTCTTTTTTTTTTTTTTTTTTTTTTTTTTTTTTTTTTGTTAATATTTAGCCGAACTAAAAGCAAATGAAAGTAAAAATCAAATATTGATAATATTAAACAAAATAGGAAAAAATGAAAGAACAAGATAAACTCCTATGTTAAATAACAATAATAATATCGTCGTCGTTAAGGGCAAATGATTGAAAGAAATATTAAAAAAAAAAAAAATCTTAACATTAAATAAAAAAAACCGAAAAACAAATATTATAATATACTGGTTTTTTGTAAGTATAAATACAGATATATAAAAACAAGATTTGCATATTGCAATTGAAATGCTTCGTTACATTTATATAGATTACATATACACACATACAGGCAGACGTATACACACAAATAATTTTACAAAAGATTATGATACTGCGGTTGTAGCATTTTATACCAGATATGATTTCGCATAGCATTTAATTTTTTAATTGATTGTTGAAAAAAATCCAACAAAAAAAAAAAAAAACAAAAAAAAACATTTGATTCTTAAATCCATTTATTGCAAGCAGGCTTGAATTTTTTCTATCCATTCTTGTGCCAGATTTGCGTTCATGGCATAGAGATTGTAAGTGCGACGACAAGTCTTCAACTGTAGGAAATATTAAAATTTTTAAATTTTTAATTCACATCATTACATATAGGTTTTCAACTTACATCGAAGAATCCCTTTTCATCTACACGTTTTGTGCCAATTTGCGTGGGTTGCGCAGCCGTGACGGACTGCACTTCAGCCAAATCTAAAATTTAAAATTTCAATATAAAATGAACTTTTTTATTTAAGCTAAAATGTTATTTATATATATATATATATAATATCTCCCACCTATCGAACCTATCTAACAATATATATTCTGCAATGGTACAAATATATATAAAATCAACATCATTGTCAAGCTATCGCCCTTGTTGACCGTTTCTTCAAATTGTCTAAATGTCTATTAGCTACGATTATACACAGCAAAGCGTTGTGCTTTTTGCTACTGACTACAACAAAGAACAACGGAATGTTGTATAATAAAGATGTTAAAGAAAAGGAGCTTTTTTGACACCATTTTTGGGATAGGAAGCAGAATAGCAATATTATTAGTTATTAAGCATGGCTTTAAGAAAAATATTAAAGAATGCTAAGGCAGTTAAAGGCCAACGGTCCATGAGTTTTTTTTTTTTATTTATTAACAGAAAATCATTTCATCTAAATTCCTATATTTAAAAAATATTGATTTTTATATAATTGGGGAATTTTTAAATGAAAAGATTAATTTTTCAATAAAATAAGTAAGAAAATTATATTTGGCAGGGGCTGAATGCTTTCTACTCTCCAAGTTCTTCTAGTTGATACTCACATCGCTGGCATTATTAGGAAAAAATTATTTTAGAAATAATCCATTTTTAGGCAGATGATATATATTCATTTGAGGAATTTCCAAAATAGTTTTAAATATTCCGTCTTGTTTGCCTTACGATAAACAAGCATAAAACCTCAAAAAAGATGAGGAAAAAATATACTTTAAGTACTTTTGTAAGTTTGTGCAGGCATAGCCGATTTTTCCCACTTTTGCACGTAAAGGCTAGAATGCCTCGTAAAGTGTGTGTGGAACATTTGAGCCGTCCAACTTTCACAATTTCTGAGTAACAAGCGAAAAGCCAAAAATTTTTGTTAAGAAAAACAGGGTTGCGTGCAGTGTACGCTCCACTGTGGTCTGCTGCTCTGACAACGTTGGCCCATTTTCATTCCAATCATCTTTGTGTGCAAAAACTGTAAATATCTTTACCAAATATAAAGTTGATATCATCATTTCTACAGCCAGGAGTGTGCCAAATACAGGCACTACAGAGACATACAGACGGACAGATATGGCTTAATCAGTTCAGAATTTGGCGCCGAGAATATACATACTATATTGGTTCTCTAAACGTTCATTTTGGGTGTTACACATATTATGAAAAAAAAAAAAAAACCAAGACTATATCCCCATCGGTATTAACAAAAATTGCTGAAAATAACCTATGGAAACAATCCTATCTATTTGTCTAAAGAATGTTTTTCTATGAACGAGAATTGTTGAAATTTTCGTGGGGCAGATTTAAAAAATCGTGGTTTGTTTTACAGTTACAGATTCAAATGATCGTCCACTGGGTTTGGTCAATTGAATTTGATCAACAATGCCTATGTCCTGAAAATGTTTTCTCTGCTTGAATTAGTTGCCATTAATAGTACTATCCATAAGGAATCTACATTACCTATAATGCCCTTACAAGTGGAATCTTCCACGGAATCATAATAACGCAGCTGATGTTTAATGGAATCCAATACAAACCAACGCTGTTTCCAGTTTTTCAATAATGCACCGCGTTTATACAAATGCCTAAAATTATATAATTAAAAAAGTAATTTTTAATCAAATATTCTCAAAATCTATTATTTCTTCTTACCCCTCATGGGTGCGATTCTCGGCCACATTACTACTGAATTGATTGTAAAAATGATGACTGGATGTGCGGGCTGTTGTTGCCGCGCTAGAAGCTATACTTGAGGTATCACCTTGTGATATATTGACGTTGGGCGGCGCCACACCTTCTACAGCCTTATATTTCGTACAATTTTTCAATGACAGTTCAGTACATTTTTCGTGATACGAATTACCGCAGTCCATGCAACGATAACCGACCGGACCCCATAGCAGCTTTGTACAGTGATTGCAATTGGTGGGTGTTGTGTAAGGATGCTTCTCAAATCGATGAGGATGAAAAAATTTATCTTGATAGCCAGTTAATCGTCCCTTCATTATAATTTCCAATGTGGAACGTTTATGTTGCAATTTTCCATGATAGAAAATGCTGCTTAGCGAAGATTTACGCTCGAGACGAATAGTTTTCGGTACCTCTAGACTGGCCCATATTTGCTGCCATTTTGGCGGCAAATGACCGCGCTCCGTTTCAGCTTGCTTCACTTCACTCAGCAGGCAAATGAACGCATTTGGATTCGATTTTTCAATATTATCGTAGCCAGCACTAATCACTATGCGTTTGCCCTTTAATTCGGATAAGTCGAGTTCATCGTCGGCATTGGTTACTTCGAGATCGTACGGAGGACCTTGGGCTAATTCCTCATTAGTGTAATAAGGCCAAAGATCTAAGGCGGCTACACAGCTTTGCGGCCTTAAAACGTCATCCTGCTGACAATATATGAAATTATAAAATATCGGCGACTTACTGTGCTGCCGCTCTATATAGTCAAATATCGAATGACCTATTCGATTGAAATTAACCAAAGTCTTGTTGCGTATATCAACAGGATACACATTATTTTCGTCATCTGAACCGGTATTACCTGAAATTCAGATTAATTTCTTTTAAGAAATTGAGACTAACAACTTTCAACCGATATTCCTTACCCAAAAAATGTTTGGCGCTTAAAGAACCTCTTTTATCCTCTACAGAAGCTATTCCCAAATCGAAACGTTCAACTTCGCAGTCAAAGAGAAATGTACGAAAACGACACGATACTGTATGATAGGCCAAAAAGCGTATATAGAATTCGTTGAATTCAAATGCCATAGGAAATTGTTTGTGTATTTGATAGACGGCATCGAGGAACTGCAAAAAGGTTGGAGCAAATGCTAAATTAGAACTGGCATGAGCCGGCTTGAGATTACTACGATGTGCGAAGCGATGACCAAATGCTATCCATTCCTTTTCGATCAGAACGCGAAAGCCCTCCATAGTGCGATAATGCGGATCTAAACACAACTGCGCTAAAGCTGATATCTGAGCTGTAATATCTGAACCATCCTCTAATGATAACATTACACTGGCCTCTTGTAAATCAATTAAATCTACTACAGCTCCGGACAATTGCAAAATTGATGAGATTTGTTGCAACCAGTCCGATTGTTCAATAGCCTTAGCAAATGTTTGATCGGTTTCATTAGTCGCGTTCGATGGTAAGCAGGCCCTCATTAGTTTCTTAAATGCCATACGTGAGTGCCGATTGTCGGGGTAATCGACAGGAATAAATTCTGCTCCTAAATCGGCATTAATACTAGACTTTGTCTGCGATTTTTCACCTAAAACATATAATCGCATTTTTCTATACGCATTGGTGGATGGAGTGTTGCTATTCTTTATAGTGCTACCTTTCGCTTTGCCATCGTGAACCGTGAGGCCGGACGTTTTGTGTTTGCGTGATAGTTCCGGCGTTAAGGATGATGCCGTTAATTCATTTCGATTCAAGTAGTGCAGCTCTTCCCCGGTCGCAGTATTTAATAAAAGTGAATTCATGGACAAATTAATGCCTGACAAACTATACTGAGCCAACGAGATATTAAGTTTAGGCATAGTATCAATCAAAGCCATATAATATTTGTCCTGCTCATGGTAATTGGCTACATCGTTTGAAGCGGCATTTGAACCGGCAGAATTTTTAAGTATACCTATAACGGATTTACTATGAGGTAGAGCACCTCTTATCAGTAAAGCTCCGCTGCAATGACGCCAAGTGGGCACCGGTATTCGTTGACCTTTATAACAACGACCCAAATGAGTTAAAGCGGCATCAGTAACATTCAAGGGAGCTACAAATATAGCAGGATAAGAACGGCACATGCTGTAATTTGAGTTAACAGTCGTTATGCGAAAGCCATTCTGAGCGTCTTCTAAACCTAAACGCTTCCAATCTCGCACATAATTACGTTCACGCATACGTTCCACATCTTTGGCGGTGGCTATACGCGGCAACGTTTCCGCATTCGTCTCAAATTCATCATCTTCCAATTCATCATTAAGGGAATGTGTTTCTAAAGCGTCAGCCGACGCTACCATAGCATCAAAGTCCAATCCAGACGCAACTAACTTACGTTTGACAGAAGTTTTTTGCTTAAAGCCCGCTTTTTTGGCAGTGCGCATTAACGTCTTTTTGGCGAACCCCTTTAAAGTGGAGTATTTTTCTTTGGCTTTCAGAGGAGCCGCGCCGTGTAAAATTGTGCCATACGATTGAAATGCAAAGTGTTCAAATTCATCAATAGGATGACGGGCTTTACTTAATATCTTACGAAATGTTTCAATCATTTCAGGTGTAACTTCCGCATCAAATGCTATTTTCATTAGTTGAAATGTACTGGAACGTAGTTGTAAGCCCTCGGGCAAGGTTTGATCTAAATGAACTAAATATAAAACTGAAATTTTTTTCTCCTTCAGCATGGAGGATATGGGGAAAGCTCTTATTATAGTTTGTTCACAGGCCAAAGGGTCGCAGGGATTTCCCTTAAAGACTATACGATAATTGGTTAAAAATAAAGCTCCTTCGGCTGGTATTAAACATTGCGTATCGTCTTCGCGACCGTCAGGCATTAAAAAGCAACGCAAATGTTCGGTTACAATCTCCTCACCCGGGAGCAAGCAAGGTGTTTGGATTTTCGGCTTTTGAACGTGGGGATGACGCTTGGATTCGAGATAAACCGACTCAAGAGATTCAATATGCATGTGCACCACTCCAGGTACCATATCGTGCAAATTACGTATATGTTCGGAGGTTACGCCACCTTCGGTACAAACCCGATCGATAAAACGTGAAACAATTTTACCGACAGCTACGCCAACTTCTAGAGCATCATTCTCTTCGAAGCCTTCATCAGAGTGGTCGCTTAAGCTATGTGAACCCAATATACTAGAAAGAAAAAATTAGAAATGCGTGCCACATTTCCCCGCTATTTCCCTTGCGTAGCTTACCTATTCGACACGCTTTGATTATCATCCAAACGAAAAGCTTGCTTAGGTTTCTGACCACCATGCACATTGACATCTGGTGGTATAAGCAAAGATACCATTCGATTGGCGTAGTGTATTGCCTGACTATAAAGCGTCGACTCTTCCGATTGGGCTAACTCTCGTTTTTTATCTTCATCTATGGTAACAGATTTACGCATTTGTTCGGCAGTTATTTCTAGAGCGGTGGGTTCTTCCAATGGAACATCATCCAGGACACAATTCGATTCCTTATTATGATCATTAGGTCTACGACGTTGCATATACAAAGCTTTGATCTGTGTTTGCACATCCTGATAAAAAGTTGATTCCCAAAACTGTAAATTTTTCCATATCGGATGGTCTTGTATGCAAGTATAGGCAAATTGTATTATACCCGTAGAGAGTTTACGACAAAATACACTAGACATAGGCAACAAAGCAGCTGCCACAGTATATTCATCGACTCCGGTAGAGTTTTGTAACGTCTTGTTCATAAATTTTATAACCAAATCGAATTGTTGATGATCCAATACCGCTTTATTGCCATGAACATACCCGAATAATTCACGGCATAATATAAGACGAGCGTCGCGATGTTTTAGTGTGCGTGTAACGGCCGGTACTAGCTTACGAGCATCTGCTATTTTGTTTTCAAAAATGTAAGCGACACAGGTTCGTAAAACTTCTAAACGTCTGGCAGAGTTTAAAAGATTTGGTCTTACATCTAGTACCTCAGGGAGACGTGGACCCATGGGAATGGTGCGGTTTTGATTACGTTGTGAACACAATTTTTGTGTTATGCAATTTTTGCGCATACCGTCGTTGATAATTAGTTCAACTTTATCGCTATGAATGCGGGGAAAGGCGGGTTGATGTATACGATGTGAAGCGCCTTCAGGAGGACGCAACACTTTCTGCACATACATTTGCTGATTGGGTATTTCATTTTCATAAAGCACTTTACCCAGCTCACTTATGTGGATTTGCAACTGCAAGCAATATTAGGCGGCTTAATAAAATTTTGTTGTTGTTTTTATATTTTTTTAACTCACCAAAGTTTTATTATTTCCTTCCGATTTTAACAATTCGTTCATTGAACTATATAGCTCATCCCAAGCGTCTGACGGACGCCATGGTGGCCCCCGTTCGTTAACAAATGATGTAAAGAACATGCTATCCAGTACGCGAAACAGAAATTCACTTTCAATTAGGTCACGAGCACCCAAAAAGCCCGCCTTATGAAAAGTTATGACTGGTCTGGGATGTATACGTATAAGCGTTAAGCAAGAACGATAACCTTGTAATAGTTGCGCAAATAAACGCATAAAAATTGCACGCAATTCTTTGTCAATGATGGCATCAGTTTTTGGATAATTTGTCGGTCGTTCCTGCGTAGGAAAAGCCAAATCAGCTTGCGATAAATTCGGAAATAAAATCATTGTCAATAGCTCCTGTGTTTGTTCCCACAATGGTGATGGTAGTACAGGTACCGGAGGAGTGAGAGAAGGCGGTATCGTTACTAGGCCACCATCCAAGTCTACAACAATAACGTCCAACAAATCAGTTATATCCGATTGTAGTGAACTATGAATGCCCATTATGAAGGGTGTTGGTGTCGATAGCACTTCGGTAAGTGGAGCCGGTAAAATAGGTATATATACATGAGTGTAACGGAAAGGATACATAAGGGCCACTAAGGCTTTACAACTTTCAGTTAAATGAAAATAACTCTTTGAATGGACAAGAATTTTATTCTCAGTCATTACGGCACAAAGTAAAATTAAGACATTTTTAATGCCTGAAACAGATAGATGATGAGGTGAAAGTGAAAATATTTTAATTTGGAATATTAAAAACGCAAATATATTGAATGTTTTCCTTACCTAATTGTTTAAATATGAAATAGACTGCTGTGCCTGTTATCGGTAAGGTTAGCGATTGCGGCGGTTGTAAGGATTGCTTGTCACCAGCTCCTATTGAAAAGCGTACCTGAGGTCCACCAGGCGGCGGCACTTGTATACATCCCAATATATTACCAATTAACGTTTCCAAAGCGTATGGCAAATTCTCAATGTATACTGTATAAATAGTACCTAAACAATTCTTAAACGTTTCCGCATAGTCTAAACGCGATATTAGAACTAAACATTTTGGAGCATACATAACCGTGTGATGGGATATTAGGGATGATGGCATTGAACTGCCGTTAGTATTAAAACCGTTTCCCGTTCCATTTACAACGCTATTGCAAATGGCCAAAGGCGATCCATTTTGATATTTTGCAGATGTTACCGCGTTTGCGACAACCGATGTTTCATCTTCCTCGTCAACTACTTTTTTATTGAGTGTAATCGCCATTGTCTCATAAAAACTGAGACAAGCACAGTAGTGTTTGTTAGCATCGATATCAGTGAGGACGGAAGTAAAAAATTTCGGCTCATGTTTTTCATACGATAAATTCCATCCCAGCGGTTGACAAAACTGCATAAAATTAATTGAATTTCAGTTCAATATGATTAACATGAAATTACAATAAATTTACCCATTCTATACCCTCGATGAAAGGTGTATCAGTCCAATCTTTTTCAGGAAAACGTTGTATAATTTTCCCACACATCAAAGGGGCATTTTCCGTTGGAATCTCTTAAATAATAATTACTATTTTAATTATTTGTCACAACGTTTTCTTATATCATTATTAACGATTCTTACTTTCTTTATCATTATCATAACCGACAATAACAAAATAATCAGCGAGCCGAGACATGTTTCATAAGCCAGAAAATTTGCATTTACAGCTAGACAAAAGCTGGGACCTACATATCCGCGTTAATAGAATTACATCAGGTATAATGAATGCTTTTTATTCTTTCCCAATTACGAAACAATGTTTTATTCACTTATTTGCTTTTTTTAATTTTTTTTAATTAACTCATTTTGTTAGATCAATGAAATTATTATCTACGCAAATATTTGGCAATGTAGTTTTCTCCATTAATTTGCATAAAATTTTATTGATTAATTCAATTCACGTTTTTAACCAAGACTTTTATACACTAGAATGATTAAATTATAAATTATTATATTTATGTATGCATATTTCTGGCCCAATATAAATCAAACAAAAACCGAAGCAATTTGATAGTTTTTAGTCAATTCAATACAACCTATATACACTTCAACCACACCCCTACAAAAATTGTCCGTTTCAAATTTCTTGTGGTCGCTTCAAGCATCTCTTTGTTGAATGAATGCATATATATATTTTTTCAAGTTAATAAAACACTATATTTATCATAAGTTTGTAACAAAAAAAAAAAGGCTAGAGTTTTAATTAATTTTAATCATAAGCTTCAAGTTCTTTTTCTAAAAAATTGCCATAAAAAAATAAACCTGCTATCAAGTGTTCTCAACTGACAATTGCATCAATGTTGCCAGTAATGCCATATCTAAGAATTGCAAATATATTTAATGCAAAACTAAGTTAAGTTACTAAGGATTGCTTACTATACTTGAAGAAAATTATTTTCCATATCTTGCGTTTGCGAAAAAATTATCTATTCCAATTGCTAACCAATAAAACAACAGTCTCAACCAAATATTGCTTATTATTAGCCAAGCAATTAAGCAGAAATGCAATGTGCGGACGGACAGAAAAGCTCTGGAGGAAAGAAATTATGCATTACCGTTTTTGTGATGATAAATATTTGGTGCTTTAGTGCAGTTACCGTTCAGCCCCGATCATGTACCTTTAATAGTAACTTTAATTTCACGAAAAAGAGATCCATTGAATAGAATGAAGGACGTTTGATTGATCAAATCGCGTTTCATTTGACAAATATTTTGAAAGTTCAAAGTTTTCTTTTGTTTTACTTATACAATAACTTATAAGAAATTTTTCGTGCTAGCAATTGTACACATCATAAACAGCTGACTGCTTTTAACAAACCTGCTGCTTTTTCCTTTGAACTCTTTTTCTCTTACTATCTTTATTTTGAACATGTAAGCCACAAATCTATTGGCTTAGTCCATCTGCGTTCAACATACCAAAAAAAAAAAAAAAAAACTATATTACACAAATAAATAGCTTAAGCTTATAACTTGTTTTTCTGGGAAATTTATTCTGAATTTGACTGATCACCGGTACATCTTTGCCGCTCAACAAACGTTACCGATGTATTGGGCTCTCAATTTACAAGTCTTAGCAATTCTTCTTTCACAAACCAAAGAAAAGAAAATAACTTCGGTTCTGTATGTTATGAAATATATTATATAAGTATAGTTACAGTTTTTTTATATATATTCGTTATGATTTGATTCTTGATTCTTTAATGCGGCAACACGCTATTTTAAGAATTACTATTAAACACATCTTCGATGTTATGACAGTTTTACAAGTCTGTCTCTATGAAAATTTCTTAAAAATTTCGCGAGTGAAAAATTTTCATTTATATGTAAATAAATAATAAATTAAATAAGTGTTATAAAATCTATAAAATATAATCGGAAATTATTAAATCAAAATAAAACTAAGTCATGGCGAATGCAATAGATCCAACAAACCAAGTTGTCAAATTTAAAGAAGAAAGATCAGATCCAGAAATAGAAAGAAGAATTCAGTTATTAACGGCGGCATCAGCAACAGCAATAATTAAAGAAGAGCCTTTAGATTCCAATAATGGAATAGTAAAAGTTAATAATAATATTAATGATAATGGCCGCGTTAATAATGCTAATTCTGATGTGGATGAATCCCTCGATGATGATGATGATGATGATGATGTTTCGCAAGACACTCAAAGCTCATCTGAGAAACATCAGAATGAAGACGATGATAAGAAAAGTGTCGAACCCGTAAAGAGTTCTAATGAAATATTAACTGAACTGTTTAAAGTGTTTAATGTTGCCCCACCAGATGAGTTATTAGATGATAAAAATCTCATTAATAAAGTTAAGAAACATAAAAAAGATAAAAAGAAAAAACATAAAAAAAACAAGTCCGCTGACGAACAGTCCGATTCAGAATCTGGAATTTCCAAGGGAAAACGTAAACATAAGAAAAAAAAGAAGCATAAACATAAGCATAAAGATGGTGATAAAGTGAAGGAAAAGGGTAAAGGTAAAGACAAGGAAAAGGGTAAAACTAAAGACGTTCATAGAGATAGTATGGAAAAGAAAAAGATTCGTGAAGGCGATAAAAGCAAAGAACAAGATAGACCTAAGCATAAAGAGGTTAGTAAACATTTATCTTTGAATAAAAATAGCAAAGATTGCAAGACCTCGTCCGATCATAAGAGACGTCACGATAAGTCAGAGAACGAAAATAATGCCAAGAAAAGGCGTTCAGAAGTTTTTAACGATTTTTACAAAGACTTTAGGGATAAAGATAGCCAGCGGGGAAAAAAGCACAGTAGTCGTGGACGGGAATTGAAAATAAAAAAAGAAAATTTAGAAAGAGTAACATCTGATTCATCGAAATCGGAAGGCGAAATCAGCGACACTACACTTTCTGATGAAGAGACTTATCTCAGAGAAAGAGAACCCGTTAGAGAAACTAGTTCACCTCATCATAGTAAAAATCGATCTCATAACAGTTTTTACGCTGGCTTAAAGCGTACTCGAAGTAGAGATCGGGTTGATGACCGTGATCGCGATTGCGCACGCAGTCGCGATAAATATCGTGATCGTGGACGAGAACGTAGTAAATATTCCTCTAATAGTCGTCGCTATAGTCGACGCTCACGCTCACGTTCTCGTACACGATCACGTTCCAGATACCACGATTTGGGCATTGATAAAAAACGCTTATTAGAAATTGCCCGGAAGAATGCTATCAGTATGTTTAAACGCGGCAATCTGCCCGGTTGCGATAATATGACGCAAGAGGTCAAGGATAAGGTGCTACTCAAAATGCGTTATGGAGGCCGAACTGTAGAAGATCTTACAGAGTTTTGTAAAAAAATCTCGAATGGTGAACATCTATCAGATTTGAGTTCTGATGAAGATTCCGATGTGGATAAAAGCGGTAACGCGAAAGCTTTTCACCACCCCTTCCAGATCAAGGAACGGGAACCAATTGTAATGCATATTCGTAATTGCAAGCCAATCGTGCCGGTTGTTGTGAAAACGGACGATCAAACCAAGGCCATAACCATGCAGTTCCCCGTGTCGTCTGGACAACAGCATCGTTTAACGGAATCTTGGATACTTGTGGAGGCCAAAGATAAGTTAGCGTCATTGCCGGCATTGTCAACATCGAATCCCGCAGCAAATGTATTCAAAAATACAATGCCGAAAAATGTTCTCGGTAAATCACTTCCTGTCGAGGAAGAACAAGAACCGGCTTTTAAATCAGTGCCACCTACAGTGGCAACGGCCGCAGAATCTGTCACAAGTGCAGATGTAAACGTTGTTAAAACTGAAGATGTTTTAACGGAGCCAATTAATGGCGTTGCAACAGCATCGGTCGAAACGCCACGCGTTGATTTTGTACCAGATGTTCCCATTCCTTCCAGTACTGATACCGTATTCTCTCAAAACGAAGGGCCACCTTTAGATGTGTCCTCAATTATATCTAAAAGACTTAATGCTATGAGAAGATTACAGGTTGGCAGTGGCCTAGTATTATGTAATATCTTGTTTGTATAATTATACTTTTATTTGCTAGGAAAATCCCATGGATTCGGAGGCCTTAAAGATGATGTACAGCTCGCAACGTGAAATGACCAGTTGGGCATCATCTAAACATTTACCTGGCCAGTTTACTGGAAGCACTGGTGCAAACATACTAAAACCGAGCGAATTAAATTCGGGTCCTCAAGTATGGGCCCGAAGAGATCAATTGACCTCATCCAAACCGGTAACCGGTGGCGTAGGAATGCAGTTATTACAGAAAATGGGCTGGAAACCCGGTGAAGGTTTGGGTAGAGACAAAAATGGAGCTTTGCAACCTTTGCTGCTTGACGTGAAATTAGATAAACGCGGCCTAGTAGCGCAAGATGATTGCAATGGTTTCGCGAGCCGTAAACTGAACCCACCAAAAAAGCGCCCTGTCAGCGGTAAAGCTCAAGCCCAATTAAATATCCAAGATAGACATCCGGTATGTCTACTCAATGAACTCACATCGAAACGCAAATGGACCCCACCCACGTACACATTGACAAACCAGAAAGGTCCATCTCATAGCAGAATGTTTATGTTTTCAGTATCTGTTAATGGAGAAACGTTTACGCCGGAACGTGCTTGTAATACAAAAAAGGAAGCTAAACTTTTGGCTGCTAAATTTTGCCTACAACAAATAGGCATATTGCCTGCCGATTGAAGGGGAAAGGGGGGAGGCGCTCGATGAATTAGTTTTTAATTGAATGAAATTAGTTTTGCTAAACATGTAAAAATATTTAATTTAAATGGATTAACTAAGAGAAATTGAAGTCTAACTTTATAATAAATGTAAATAGTAAGTTTTGAGTTAGTAAAAAAACAGATAATTTGCGTCCATATGTACTGCTCTCGCCATAGATTTCCCTAAATTTACTTTTATGCTTATGCACTCTTCTTAGGTAACACGCAAAGCGTGTCTAAATTGTCATTCACTTCAAATGTATTTCACTTCAACTTTGAAAGTGTTTGCTGAATACGCTTTTATATGTCTATTAGGATAGATATAAATTGCGCCCAAAAAAATACAAGTTTTCTAAAATCTTTTAAATCGGTTTGCCTCTCACGTGTCTCGCGGAATCTCTTACCTCTTCTTTTTCATATTTAATGTTCGCTCCATTACTTATGACTTTTGTAAATTTGATTACACTATACGGTTTCCGAATGAGGCAAGAAAACAAAGAAAATAGAATTCTTTTATAAAAACACGGATAATGCTGTAAAGATAAGTAAAAACACTAAAATCGATGATTCAAAACACATCGTTGTAGCAAATTTCAAAATTGCAAGATATTTTAATTATTGAAAATTATGCCTTGACAGCAAACGCACATGGACAGATAGACAGACGTACAGCTTAAATCGATTCGAAAAATGTTTTTTAATCGGTCAGCGTAATTAATGATCCGTCTAATTTTAAATTATTCTTGTTCGCTACTAATACGATTAATATAACAAAGTTATTGAAAAAAAAAGTCAAATCTTATATCTCAAAATTATATATTTTCAAATGATTTTAATATTAAATCGAACAAATTTCAAGTTTTATGTCTTGAAGTAACTTAAACAATTTTTATATCTGTAAATTATGATTCGGAGACTTTCAATATTTAGTTCGCCAAGCTTTCTAGAAAGAAAATTTTCTATATCTCAAAGTGATTGTAAGTGCTAGTCGAAGAGATGCAAATACAAGGCATAACATGAAAATTACACAATGGTATACTAGTTCCATTTCAGTAAAAAACCCCATATATATATATATATATATACATATTTTTTTTATGTCATTTTCAACAAGGGTTTTCAATAATTATACAATCGTACTCCGAGGAAAAATTTTTTTCTGCCCTATCTACATTCTTGTATGCTCGCAGGGGCATATTAAATTTGTGCACATATATACAATGTCCAGAAAGGCTTGAGAAAAATTGATGTCACCTTTTATTATATCAAATGACTTAAAATCACTTTCTGCATCGGTTTACGCTTGCCTGTCTCTTTGTCCGCTTTGTTTTTTTTTTTTTTTGTGTGTAACATACACATCGTCATTTTTGACATGTTTGAGCATCATTTTCTGAATCGATTTAAGCTTGTCTATCCCTCTGTCCGTTTTGTGTTTTTATATGTATCGTAATTTTTGAGCATGATTTTCTGAATCGATTTAAGATTACGTGCCCCTCTTTTGAGATTTTGGAATCTATTTAAGCTTGTCTCTCCCTCTGTCCATTTTGTTTTCTTGTGTGAAAGCTACATATCGTCGACAATTTTTGGAAAGTTGGTAAACTGCCTTGCTTTGGGGCAACGATGCAAAAGGGTTCGTATTGGACCATTATTTTGACTAGTTTCCATATAAAATCTTATTTTGAAAAATCTTTATATGAATAATTAGGGTAGAGATATTTAATAGGTATACGTTTTCTGTTTTATTAATATCTAGAATAATATCAGGTGTGGACCAAATCCTGCTGAAACCTGCTTGTTCGATAAGATATAAATTAAGATTAGCCGACTTTTCTGGGAATGAAGTACGTATAGAAACTAAGGACATTTTTTCGTTCTGAAAGAAAATTGCAGTAACAAGCAAATCTGAATTACTCCCTCTTCGTTTAAGAAAGAACTCTTCGTTGGAAATTATTTTGAGTCATCAATGTATCAATTGAAAACCTTCTAAATGTGTAGTAAATACAAAGAAAAAAAAATTGTAATGAAAACAAAATTTTAAGCCTTCTCTAAGGCAGAGTTTGATAACGCTTTACCAAAAAAATTGGATTTTCTTGTCATTTGCTTTGTAATGCTTTTTTCTCTAAATATAGTTCCTCGATATTCTTCTGCAATGAAGGAGCACTTAATACAGATGTGTCATGCACACACAATCATAATTAAATTTTTTTCTATAATGATTCCCAATGTTTTACTATTAACGCAAATAAAAATTTTGATTAATTTTAAACCTTTGCAGACAGCCTACTTCTCCGATATAGTGTAATTTACGAAAGAATCGTCAAATTAATAATAATTTCATAATATTGTTATTCTGGTCTTTAACGAACTTCCTTAACTTAACTAAACGAATAAATAAAAGAAGTGAAAATATAGTTGGGCTAGGCCGACTACATTGTCTAATACAATTCTTAATTGCGCCTCGTTTTTGTAGGAACTTGCTGTTATAGAACGGTATATTAAGAATTATATCTCATAAAGGCTTATTTTCCGTAAAACTGGGAACCCTCAAGGGGTTCAAAAGTTTAGCACAGTTACTACTTCTATCAAACGGCCTTAAAACCAAACGTTGTCGTGGAAATCGTTATATAGGGCAGGATCCAAAAAATAGGACGACATGGCCCAAATTTGGTACGGTTCTCTATATATATCTTAAATTACTATTTTGATCTCATTTTCATCATAAAGCATTGAAAGTTAGACCTTTTTGTTATATGAGTTTCACTTCAGAAGGGGTTCAAAAGATCGCCTCTACTGATCCAAAGTTTTCCAAAGGCACCCATCACCCTACATTATCGTTAGCTTTTCTACAAACTACTGTACTGGCCCTCCTGAGTAGCTGACTACATTGGTGAGAAAGTTTGCACGCAGACGATCTCCGATATCCTGGAAGACTCTCTAAGGAAAGAAACGCCGTCACCGGGCAACATTAGATAGGCAGACAGACAGATGGACAGTTAAGCGATTGGTATAATAAAATGTAGATCTATCTTAAGCCCTTCTGCGTGTTACATATATGCCCACAAACTTAATATACCCTGTACTAAAAGTGGTGTATGTGCCATGTGCACATCCAATATATGAAAATCCTTATATGTAACAATATTGGCGCTCATTTTCCTAGATATGAAATGCGCAGATGCTATTTTAATCGGTGAAGTTCTCTCGTCCCAGAGCAGATGCACAAATGCGTATACAGGAATAATATGAAAGCAGGTATCCAAGTAAAAGTTCATATAGTAGACGATAAACTGAGGTGTTAAGTGAGGATGAGGTGACAACTTCTTAAATCTTTTAGCTTTGAAAAGCAATGCAAAGCCAACGATATCAACAATCACTTGTATTATTTGCCGGAAGCCAAGCGTATAACTGTATGTGAAAACTATTTGAAGGTCGTCTGTAGCCGAATACGAATACGAATGAAATGGGGGGGAATGCTTGCACACATAAGTGTGCAAAGGTAAATATGAACATTTACTCCTGCAGGATACAACTCTCCTTTAGTATAGAGAAAAAAATCTTCGATATGCCTTCGCTCATACACACACGCCTACATGTTTATATATATACATGCTCACGGATAAGGAAAATTAGTTTGACCGAGAAGTTGAAGCTGAAAAATCTGTGTTAAGGAAATATTTGATGAATTTTTTTTTGATTTAGTTTAGCTCAGCTAAGTTCAGTTCATGACGGGCTGTTAACGATGCTTAATTCTTCTAGGACATGTTCTTTTTATTTTTTATTTTTTTTCTTATAAAACATATAATGTAAGTGCGCGCGTGTGTATGTGTGTGGAAAGGCAAAGAGAATTTTTTTTTTTATAAATGCCATTTAGCAAAGAAGTTTGTTTCGATAAGCGAAAGATCTTACGAGAATTTATAATTATGTAAAATTAAATTAAATTAAAAAAAAATTAAAAATAATGAAAATTAGCGAAGAAAGGCAAAAACTATGGAAACTTGTCGTACCTGTGCCAAGTGTGATTTTGATAATGAAAGCCAATGGATGGATTTATTCAACCCGCAATATAGGCAAACGGAAATAGAATCGATTCGCATTGAGTTCAATATATGGAAATTGAAGGTATCGGTTTTTTTTTGTTTTCTTTTTTCCCAATTTTAATTGAAATATGAAAAAAGTCATTTGTTTTTTTTTTTTTTATGTTTTTGTAACTTTCTATATTTTCAAGATTTCACCTAATGATGGCTTGCCGCAGAAAATTTGTCACGATTGTTTTAATAAATTCCTTACAATATCTTCATTTCGTTTACAATGCTCGGAGGCTCAAGTTAAGCTAAATAATATTTTCGATAAAATCGATAATCAAAGCATAAAAGACGATGAAAATTTTGATAATTTTACTACCGAACGAGAAAATAATGAGTGCACAGTTAATACGACTGCTGTTGGTGTCATTGTCCATCAATCAACAAGAATTAAAAATCACACCGAAATTAAAACCAACGAAAATAATGGTAAGAGCGTAGAGAATAAAGAGAGAATGCACGGAGAGCAAGTAAGAAAATTATATTCGATCGTGACTAGATCTTTTATATATCCATCACCGTTATCTTAAAAAAGATTAAAACGGTAAATGAATTACATTTTCATGCCTTATAATGTGCACTGGGCGTAGATGATAAAAGTTTTTGTTGCGTAGCCGTGTCCTGTGAAAAATGTAGGTCACTTCCAATTTCAGTTTGTTAAATCCATTTTCGCTAAAGGGGGGAATGTTTATCGCATATGTTACACAGTTGCGCAGGCAGACAACTGGATAGACGAACAGACGGACATGTTTAGGTGCATTCCGAATTTTTATATTTTATTAGGATTTTCAAGCTTTGTTCTGTGCCTTATTAAGTTATTGAAAAAAAACAATTAAATTTTCATAAACTATAACATTGGGTAGCCGCGGTTGATTTTTTCCATTTTCGTACGGGATGCTACAGCGTTACCCATAGAATATATGGTACATTTTTTGTATACTTGTGTGCTACAGTTTATGATAGTTATAATCAAAAAACTAAATTTTTATTTCTCCAGAAGAACAGAGATGTTTTCACATTACGTAATATTGTGGGCGTGTCGTTCGATTGATTTTACCCATTTGCAAGATCGGCCTGCGGGCAAGAAGTTCCAGTACGTCTGCCAGGATTGATGTTGACAATTTCTTTTTTACAGCCGAGAGAATGTTTACAAGAGAAACACTACACGGACGGACAGACGGACATTTTTACATCGGTTTAGAATTTGCTTTATGGACCCTCTAAAGCTTCCTTGTAGGCGTTGTAAACATTTTGACAAAATGAATATATCCCAATTTTTTATTCCGTTTGACAGATAGAATTGTTCTCAGTTTACGTGACACTGTGGGCGTGTCCTTGGACCGATTTGAGTCATTTTCAATACGAACCTGCATGTAAGAGCTTTCCAAGTTTCTGTCAAATTTGAAGTCGACAGCTTTATTTTTGCGGCCAGGATAATGTTGACCACTAGACAGATGGAGAGACGGACATGTTTAAATCGATTCGACGCTTTGAAAAAATGAATATACTCCTCATTCCTGGGTGATGGGTATAAAAAGCGAAAAACAATCTGAGAAATTTCATTTCGGACAGTTTCATTCAGCGAAGAGAAGAAACGCTTCTGGAATAGTTAATGAACAGCGAGAAATTGAGAAGTTGATGCATTCTCTCTAGGCATTTTTGCAGTAGAATTTATAAATCTTACTTACTTTATATTATGTAATTTTCTTAAATGTTATTGTTATTACTATTCTTTTCTTTTTTTTTTTTTTTGAATAATTTAATGAAGCAAAAAATACGATTTCTGCCAACGTTTCAAAGAAAACCATAAAAACCTATACAACACGCACTGCCGTTATAAAAACCCACAACCAAAATTCCTCTGAAATTATTAATAACAATAACAGTAATAGCAATAATAATATAATAATACCTACAATCTTTGTGAATAATGCGAACAATAGGAAAAGCGTTCATATCGATGATACGAACGATTTGAGTGACAATGGAATTATCGAAGAGTTTCATGATGCAGTGAAATCCGTTAACTGGAATACGAATGAAAGTAAAATTTATACTAATAATGTCAACTCAAATAACGATAAGAAGAAGAAGAAGAGCTCTTCTAGTCATCACAACGAAAATGACTTGACAAACGATAACATAAGCATAACGTTTGAATGTAAATACTGTTATAAGTCTCGTCATCGGCCAGTTGAAATGTTTCACACTCAACGGGATTTATTAACGCATATAACTGTCTATCATAATTCTGAGAATCCCTATAATTGTCCATTTTGTGAGATGGGTTTTCAAGATGCCGCCTCAAGGACAATGCATCTGAAAGATCAACATTGCCAGAAAATGTTTACCTGTGAAACGTGCGGTAAAAAGTACGCCGATCGTTTTAATTTACGTAATCACATTGAAAAATATCATACAGAGATCGATTATGATTGCACGCTCTGTCAGAAGAGTTTTCTATCGCGTAAAAGTCTCAATTATCACATGAAATGGCATAAACCTGAATATCAATTAAAATGCACTTATTGTGAACGTTTGTTCATCAATCAGCGACATTTGAAATGTCACGAAGAGACTCACACGGGTTTAAGAAATCAGGAAGTCTGCTCATTTTGCGGTAAATGTAAGTACTACGGAAATTTGTGTAAAACAAAATCGAAATCGAAATTTGTTTTTCATTTTAGGTTTCATTCATCTGAAAACATTACGCTGGCATATCTATCGTCAACATGATGGTGAAAAACCATATAAATGCGGCAACTGTTCAGAGGGTAAGTGCACGGTGTTATCAACTTGTTAGCTTACTTTTACATTTTCTCACATTTTAATACAATTATTATCATTAAGTGGACCAATGGGGTGAATAGTGGGGTAGGTTAACAGATTTCTTTTATGGTTTTGCGTGGGTTGTTATCTTGAAGGTCTAACCTCACGGCAACCGGTGGCGCACGAGTTGTCTTGACAAACAATAGCAGGAACCGTCAAGGAATAAGGCAATCCCCATTGAAGGAGGCCCTCAGTCAGATGGATCTTGCATCTTCCTAACGGAAGCAATCTTACTTTTTGGGCAAGCTCACACCCGTCGACACTCATGACTTACGGCCCGGAAGACCACGAGGAACGAATACTTTTCAGGTTGCCATCATACAGCACATACCCAACTGTGCCACTCTTAAATAACGCTGACCATCGTGCGTTTGATGATATACATAGAAGAGAACCAAAGAGGAGAAGAAAAATGCTCCCTTTTCATTAGAAAAGTCCTCTTCCGATACAACTCTTAGGCGTCCAAGTAAAAAACCCGTCGTCAAGCTATACCTTTAAACCTTTCTTTGCCGTTGAACTGTGAAACTCTCGAAAGTGTGACCCTTAAGAAGCAACAGTCAATGTTTATAGAGAACACCATAAAAAGATGAGGGTTTCGTTACGTCTATGTTTACCCAAAGGGATTGCATAGTTTCGGTCCCCAGTGAGCTAGATCAACAGTCTTCTAAGAACTTTTACACTTACTACAAATTAAACAAGTCTGAAATCTATAGCAAAAAAAAGAGAAAAAAGCAAAAGTGGCCCGATCCAAGCCATTTTCAATAGCATTCGTCCTTGGGTCAAAACACGTCGGTGTACCAAATTTCATCAAAATATCTCAAAAATTCCGATCTGTAAATTGAACATATAAAGGCATGGACAGACATTAGACGCAAAGACAAGTTCAGATCGTCAGAATCATATAAGATGGGTCCTTCTGAATGTTACGTAAGTCCATACGCCCTGTATCATGAGTGATATGAGATCTAACAATTTATTTTAACACCGCGAGGATACGCTTTATATATCGAATCAATTTCAAAAATGTCGAGCAAAATCGCTAGGATTTATTTTTAAGCTCCTATACGACTTAAATATTCAATAAATAAGCTGAAAATTAAAAGCTAGGATCTCATAGAAATTTTGAAAAGGGTGAAACCTTTGTGTGGAGGTACGCCTCGAAAGATATGAGATAGATTCGCATTTTATTATACCGATCGCCTATCAGTCCGTCTGTCTATCTTTCCATATAATGTCTGCCCACATAATTTAGCGTTCAAGCTACAGTTATCAATTTTTGAGATATTTTCATGAAACTTGATACACTCTTTCGAAATCATTTTCTGATTTAATTTAAGCATGTCTGTACGTCTGTCCGTATAATGTCTGCCCATGCATTCTTATGTTCGGGTTGTATATTGATGAAATCTGGTAGATCGACTTGTTTTGGGCCAAGGATGCGATTGAAAACGGCTCGGATCGGATCAATTTTTCACCACCTTCTATACAATGCTTTGTTTTGACAAGTCGTTATATGAACAACTTTACGATGATATGGGGTATTTAATGGTGAACCGTGGTCTACTGTAGTGCTTTTTTTTTGTAGAGTTGTCGACAGAACAAAATGTATGAAACCATGTCTTCAATAAACGATAAGTTTACTTAGAAAACGATTGGCAAAGAAGGGCGGAAATATTCACTTATTTTGATCTTTTTAAAGTATATGTGATTCCTCTCCTTTAGACAGCTCAACATTACGAGACGAGACTTTCATTGTCTCGAGCGGCATTTGAAAATTATATCGGACATAACCTCAACTTTGCTTTAAGTAAATAAATACTTTCGGATTATATTACAACTGCTTTGAGACAACTTGAATGCGGATTGTATTCACTTCTCTTGACACAATTATATGTATATGCATATGAATAAACAAATACACAAATTATAAGCAATTAATTAGAAAATTAATATAACCAATATTTAATTTATATTTAATTAACAAATAAATTATATATTTTCTTTTTTTGTTTTTGTTTTATACATGTAGTATTTGCTTCCTATGCCAAAAAGCGTTTACACATGCTGGACTATCATTTAGATAATTTAACAGTGTTGGAGAAAACTGAGTGCATGTTGTGCCATAAGAGATATGAAAATGAAATTGATTTGAAAAAGCATATGCTCGAAGACCATAACGAAGAGAAGTGTACCATTAAAATTTCGAATAACAAACGAGTGATAATGAATAAAAAACAAAAGCAATTTAGCGGATTATTTCAATGTGAAGTTTGTGATAAACGTTTTAATATGAAATCAGCTTTAGAACGACATCAGGCAGTTCATTCGATCGAAGGAAGGTAAGCAGTTAAAGAAAGCAGAATTTATGGCAAACTTTTGTAACCTAAAAAGTTTAATCAAACGCTCCGGTTCAGTGAAATTTTATCATTTCTTAATGACCTTTATGATCCCTTTTTCATAGGAATGCTCAAACTTTCGAATAATGATGGTTTTTTAAACAGGTTTTCGTTCAAAATTTTTATTATTCATGTTGTTCCGCAGCGGTCTGGTAACAATAGTAATTGCCTCAATGTTGCAATGACGTTTGCATAAAATTTCAAGAAAAGAAAGATTATCGTCTTGGGTTGAAATTTTTTCTTTTACTGAACAGTAGCTGGTCTTAGTTTACTTGCTTAGTAGACGCTCCTTGGAAGATGATTTTGCAGTCATGTCAAATACAGAAAAATACATTCTTCGGATTTTAAGCACACTCAAGAATTTCCTTCAAAGAATTCTACATATTTTCTCGCTGAAGACCAGCTTTTAGTTTAGTTACTTAGTAGATGCGTGTTCGATAACGACCTTTCAGTCATATCAAACTCAGAACAGTACCTTCTTCGGGTCTTAAGCACACTTCAGAATCATCTTCAAAGAATTCGCTATTTTTTGTCAATGACTAGCAACTCTTAATTTAGTTCGTTATTCATTCTCCTTCCTTGACGACTTTTCACTCACGTCAATCACAGAAAATTGCCTTCTTCGAGTGTTGAACAGACATTAGATCTTCTTCAAAGAAATAAATGCTTTATTCTTCTTAATGCTCCAAAGTAGGTGAAGCCAACAGCTTTCTGATGATTGTAACAGGAGTTCCCTCCAAGCCGCAACGACCTTTACCGAAACGTTAACAAACGGAAGATTATCGTCTTTTTTCTTGTTGAACAAAGGCTCGTCTTCGTTTGGTTGCTCAGTTGCTTAAACGCTCCTCCGTTCACGTCAAATATAGAAGATCATCTTCTTCAAGAGTAAAACAAGTTGTACGCGATCGCTTCGCTACGGTTTGTAAATGTACGCAATTCATTCACTGCCAGTAAACGTCTAACACTATGGAGCCGAAAGAGATAATGTCAATAAAACGAGTTTACTAACCAATTTACCTATCTTTGAAAAAAAGAAAATCGATAGACTTAGTTACTAGTGTTCCTCGTACTTTTTAGTTCAAGATTTAGTTTAAATAAATTGTAATAATAAGAGTAAGAATAGAAAAAAATGTCTTTTTTCTTGAGTGCCTACTCGGGTTGCGCGTATACAAGGCGATGGCTACAGAGAAATAAGTGAAGGAAGACGAAAACGATGTGCCACAGGTTGGGAGATGCAGTGTGGGTCTGATCGCAAACCACATAGCCCAGTAGATAAAAGCAGCGAGTATCAAGTCGATTTTCGTGAGCTCAAATTTCAGTGCGGTGGTCCATTTTGTGTCGTAGCTATATTAAGTGGTCAGTGGGTAAACGCATAACATCGATCGGGCGTACGCCCGAGCTTTCTCTTTTTTCCACTTCTTTTTGACCACCACCGAGTTACATGTGATGTTTTTATTGCTTAAGCGTTCACTACAACGAACCTATCAACGTGAATTGTTTCGTGAAATTCTTACGGCAAGAGAGAAAGCTTCTTGTTTCTGCCCTTAGGTATATACCTAGAAATAACTGATTGGTTGTTGAGCTTTGTGGACGAGATTTCTGTTAGCGTAACGACCAATCAGAGATGATTTAAAGCCGACTTTATTCGACATCGATAGTAGTTTTCGATTAGTTTTGCAATTTAATAACTTTGCTAAGAAATTCTGCGAAATGTAATGAATTTTTATGAATAGTTTTCGCTTTTGCACCTTTTTAAAGTATTTGTAAGTGATTTTTATGGAAACTTTTAGTCGAAATTATGAATATATATATGAAATATAAGTTCTTTAATATCTATTGCAGACCTCATGCTTGTCCTCAATGTCCGAAACGTTTTAAACGCTCGCAAGATATGAACTGGCATTTAAAAACTCATTCTGAAGAGAAACCCAATATATGTGATGTTTGCGGTAAAGGTTTTGCTTTAAAGTATGTCTTAACTCAACATCGTAGAAGTCACGAAGGTAATAAATGCTTCTTAATCATATACTTTATTACATTTCATGTGTATACATATATACGTACGTATGCATAGTTTTGGAAAAGAATTTCAGTTGCACAATATGTGGACGTTCATATTTATTTGAAAAATCGTTGAGATTGCATGAGCGGATACATACTGGAAAAACTTACTACAAATGCGATCTGTGCAATGCCAATTTTGTGACTCATATCAAATTTAAATGTAAGTCGACAGCAACTAAAACCAAAAAAAAAAACAAATAAGAAAATTATATCTGGCCGCGACTGAATCTTTTCTACCCATCATCGTTATCCTAAAACAGATTAGAAGAGTAAAAGAACTACATATTCAGTCTCTATAATGTCGAATGGTCACAGTTGATTTTATCTACTTGCAAAATAAAAGTTCCTGTCGCCAAGGCGTGTCCATGGAAATGTTTAAGTCATTTTCAATTTTCTTTGCAAAATTTGTAAGCGATATCTTCATTTTCATTTATGGGAGTATGTCTACCACAGATACTACACCGTTGCGCAGACTTACGGACAGACGGATATCTTTAGGTGCATTTCAAATATGAAACTGTGCAATGATTTATATACTTCAGGGGTTTAAAGGGGTTGAAGCTTATTTCTGTGCTTTATAAAGGTATTGAAAAAAACATTTTAATTTTGTTACACTATAATGTTGAGTAGGCGTGGTCAATTTTTCCATTTTCCCACTGATGCTACAGCAGCTTTCATAGAACTTGCATTCAAATTTTTAAACATTTATTTGCTATAGTTTGCGAGTAGCGAGCAAAAACCAAGTTTTATTCCTTTTGAAAAACAAAAGTGTTCCCAGTTTTCGTGTTACGGTGCTGTGGTCATGTCCTTTGACCGATTTGAGCCATTTTCAATACCACCCTGCGTACAAGAACACATGCTTAAATCCATTCCGAATTTGGTGGCGAATATATACCTTGACGCTTCCTTCCGGGCATTATAAACCTTTTGACAAAATTAATGTACCCCCCATTCCTTCCTACGTCTGCACCAGCCTTTTGCTATACCGGTTCGTAATCATTTTCTGGATCGATTTAAGCTTGTGTATCTGCCTTTCCGTCTACCCGTCTGCCTATCTTGCTTTTTACGTTTAACCTACAGGCCGCATATCTTTGAGATATCCTGATGAAATTTCGTACACTGATATCTTATGTCCCAGTGACGAACGTTGTTAAATATGATTCTGATCAGACCATCTTTTCAATTACTTCTCATATAAAAACCTATTTTAAAAAGTCGTTATATGAATAGTTATAGGGTAGTGTAGTATATTTAATGATGATCCTCGGCCTTTGTTCTCTTTCTATTCTAGCGCAAAACGGAATAGATTGGTGAAGTGAACTTATGTCCATTATCTTGGAAAGTGAAATGGTCCTCTTTCAAGAGCGAGGCAAATTAGAGCACCTTTGGGAAGCTTCTTTAGAATGATGGGTGTATTCATTTTCTGCAAACGTTTGCAAAAACTGGAAAGATTCAAATCTTGAATCCTAGGCCTAAGAAAGACTAATTTTATTTCAATATCTTTGTAAGGTGCCGAAGCAACTTTCAAAAACATCATAAAGTATATAAATTCTTGACCAGTTCAAATTGTTGCAGTGCTTCTAAGCATATCCGTCTGCTCACCTCTCCATTTATCTGCCTGCGCAAATGTCTATTTGCGATAAACATTCTCCCGAAACATTTTAGCTAAAATGGAGATATCGCCTAAAAATTTGCAGAAGAATTTAGAACCGACTTAAACTTTTCCAAGGATACGCTCACAATGCCCTTCGGTGATGGGTATAAAAACAAAATGATTTTATTTTCGCTAATTATGTTTTCTCATTTGTAATTTGTTTTGATTTCTGTATTAAAGGGCACATGAGCAAAATGCATGATGCAGAAGAAATATCCGCTACTGCTAATATAAATTTCAATACGAATTATGAAAAAGGGCTACCGCTGGATGACTTAGTTAATTTTGTGATTCCTTAAAAAGAAAGAATATTTACCAGTGTTTTTGGAAACTGAAGTATTCGACTATTCGAAATTTACTAAAACTATTTAAAAAAAAATATATATATATAGATATATATGTATATATATATATATATATGTATTTTAAAATTACTTTTTTTAATATTATATTAAATTTTTTACATTAAAAATTACTTCCATTTATGGATTTTGTTTTCTTTTTTTTTTTTATAAAAGTTACCTAAATATTAAAACTGATCGGGGAAAACATGTTTGTTTAAAAAAAGATACAAATATATTTGAAAATGTGTTATATTTAGGTAATTAAATTGTTTTAGAATAAATTAAATAATTTTAAATCTATACTAACTTACGGAAATAAATAAATAAATAAAAATTTTAAAATTCAATTTAAAAACTATTTATGTTATATATATATACATATCTTTATATACATATGCGCGTCGAAAAATGAAATTATTAAAATTAGTATTATTAACTAACACAGAAAAATTGGTATAAACAGACGATCCCGAAACTTATAACAACTATATAATGATTCCTTTGCGATACCCTTGAAAATTTCACTTATCTGGGAATTGAAAATAATAAGTCGCTTGCATATAATTGTTTTCGAAAAGGTCATAATCTTAAAAAAAAATTTGTAGAAATTTTATAAAAAAATGCGTCTCCAAGTTCAACTTAGCCAAGTAATATTAGCATTCATCAGTACATAATTATACTCTGCACCACTTCTGGTACAGGGTACATTACGTTTAGGCGAACGTACGTTCGGAACAGCCAGAAGGATTTAAGATAGGCCCACTTTTTATTATATCAATCGTCTATCTGTCCATCTGTCTGTCTGTCCATCTAAATTTGTGTTCAAACTATAGGTGACTAATTATCAGATCTTTTAATGAATTTGGTATACTGACGTGCTTTGAAAAACGACGAACGCTATTGAAAATGATTTGGATTAATCCACTTTTTTTGACTATTCCCCATGCAACACCTTATTTTGAAAAGTCGTTATGTGGAAAAATATTTGCAAAACTTGCTGTGTAATGTTATTTGCACATTCTAAATTGTTATGAAAAATTTGGTTCGACTGCGGCAATGTTTTGAAACCTCTCTCCTATAACCGAAAACTAAGTCTTTATATAGTGAAAAGGTAGGTAAAAGGGGTGAAAATTAATTTATAATAGTAAACGGTTAACATAGAAATGAACCCTACCGTATTTGGACCAGGTAGATCAACTTTTTGAATATCATCGCATATAAGGATTCCTCCAATATGTGGACGTGCATAAAAAATATGTCTTTGCATTAAAATAATGTGTAACTTTTGGTGTATTATCACCAAAATGAGTGAATAACTTGCCGGCCGGCCTTGCCCGACTCTTACTTGTTATAATTTCTGTCTACGGTAGAGTACACTTCTGACAAAAGCGAATATACAACACTGTAGCTGTTATCTTTGTAATATATTTTGCATTCCAAAAATGTAACGTAATACAGACTCCTTGGTTTATCAATCGCGTTCGCAGACCTATTTGCCTTTTTAAAATGGCTATGTATAACCACACGAAAGGCAAGGATCAAATTGAACTTAGTAAGCTGCCCTTTCTATATATGTGAAACCATTCGCGAATTAAATGAAAACCAAACGCACTTTTTGGTGAGCCATTTATTTAAAGAAAGGAAAATTTGAAATGTTTTATTAATTCACAAAACGACTCTTAACTCAAAAAAAAAAAAAAAAAATTGAAAGTCAATCCAGAAAAATGGTAATGACATTACAGGCTTACTTTAGCTTAGAAAATGCTTATTTTGTAAGATGTTGTTACAATAGTTTTTGTATAAAACTGGGTATAAATCGTCTTTCTTGCTTGTTTGTCAATTAATTATTAATATTATTATTGATTTAGCCAGAGAAATAAATTTTCAGACTAAGGTCTTGAAGTACTAGCATCTAATCTAATTCTATCGCATTTATTGAGATTTCATTGAGATTGAATTGTTAATCGAAATTCTTTGCCTTCGGCCACTCAGGTGGATTTTTTCTAAAATAATATAGAATATAGAAGAAAATTTTAAATAGTATAACATAAAAAAGAATTAAGGTAATACAAAATAAAGGAAGATTAGATAAATAACTTCTAAATTTAAAATAAGTTAGTGTCGTATCTACTTACGAGTTTTTTTTTTTGTTTAATTTCTGTGTATATATGCAAAACCACATGATTTCTTCCTATAATCAATTCCTACAAAGTCGAAAAAAGTCGGCAAAATTGAAATCCCATCCCGAAAATGGGAATAACGCATTACTATGCTTAAGCTAGAAGCTGTTCATCTAAAACAAAAAATTAAAAACGAGAATATTATTCAACATCGAAAAAAGAGCGAAATGAACATTTTTAAATATAAACGATATTATTATTATTATTACTATTATGATTATAAATTTTGCCAGAGAATAATTTCTAAGTCTCAAAGCACTAGCATCTAAGACTTTCGGTTTTATTAAAAACTTTACCGCACTTGAGATGTGTACCCACGACCACTAAGTTGCTAGTCGAGACTCTTGCCCACTCGGCTACCCAAATATAAAACGTAAAAGTTTGATTTGCTTCGAAAAAAATCGCGTGTAAAGTCGTTTCAAATAAATCAATGACAAAAATCTTGCAGTCCTAAATGGATAGATAGTGTTAGTCAATTAGTGGAGTAGTGTTTTTGTTAAAGATAAAAATTATTTTAAGATAATTTTATAATTTTTAATTTTAACAGAAACTTTTTCCAAAAATATCAACAACTCTTAATTTACAAAAAATTAAAAAAAAAAAACGATTGACAATAAAAAATCGAAAATGAAAGATTAATTTTAAATTTAATGAAACCTTACTGATTTATCAGGTAATGGAATTCGATTTGCATATTTGGAAAGCACTAAATATGACACGTTGAAATTTTCAGTTATACCACCAGGCAATGAAAATTACTCATTCTAAAATCATACTACATTGATCTGAATTTCTAAATCTTGGCCAACACCAGAAAGGAATGTACTTACAAGTTCAGACTGAAGAAGTCTAAGGAATTAACAAACTCTTGTAACAATGTCAACAATGATCACAAGGTCACCTTCTGACCCATGATTCAATGCCTAGACATTTTGTAGAAGCTTGCTGCTCTTTCTGGGCGGTTTTTAGCTAGATTTCTCACTTGCTGAGTCTTTCTTTCAAATTGGAAAGAAACATATTACTCTGTCTCTTTAAGTGTAAGCAAACTTCATTTGAATGCATTTCTTGATAAGAAATGCCAAAACTACCAATCAGAAATAACCACATACTAAATACAACTCTGCCGTTTTGGATTAAAACTGACGTGTGATTGAAGGCAAACAATGCGAACACCAATTCATTATATTTATAATAAATGAAGGTAAAAAAAATATATTAGAAAATTTCTGGTGATAAATTAGCAAAGAAAACTGCAATTGAAGCAGAAGTAAAACAAGTACGTACGTATCTATTAAAAATAAATAAGCTGTGGTGGGGAAGGGAAAATACGTAAGCAACAACAAGGAAGAGATTACGTCCGATTGTATAGTAGGCGCTGAAGGCTGCCACGCTACAAGCTACATACAAGAAATATAAAAAGCAAAATTCCAAAAAAAACCATAAAAGAGTTATTTTCATTCTTTTTTAAAACTGAAACGCACACGTACACGTTCACTATAGAAAAAAAATGGTGTTGTCATTACCTGAACTATTATTGCTGGGAGGAGGAGAAAGGAAGTTGACAGCTTGCGTGTTACTATTACTTTTGGAGTTATTTTTGGAAGGTTAGTTTATATATATGATTTTTGAAACTATAACACAAATTCAGATTGAAATATTTGATGTATAACCCGGTTAATGCTATCTAAAAAGGTGCGGAGGTTGAAAGTAGTTCAGCTGACATCGAAAATCATCTTGAATTGGGTAAACGTTTTCTTGCAAACAATCAATTGAGTGATGCTCTTACACATTATCATGCTGCTGTTGGTAAGGATTAAATACATAAAATTTATATTTTACTCAAGTATGTTTCAACTGCAGAGGGCGATCCCAGTAATTATTTGACACTTTTCAAGCGAGGAACTATTTATTTGGCTTTGGCCAAAACACGTTTCGCCATACAGGATTTCAGTCAAGTGTTAGAATTGAAGCCAGATTTCATAGCCGCTCGTGTACAACGGGGCAGTGTTTACATGAAAAGCGGTGAATTTACTGAAGCGGCCCAAGATTTTGAATGTGTGGTAAATGATTTATTCAGAATATTCCGGCAATTAGCTATTCACCTATTACACTATGCAATTTTCAGCTTAAATTGGAGCCTTACAATGAGGTGGTAATCGAAAGCCAGTCCCGATTAGGTCCTGCACACGAACAATGGGAAATTGTTCAGGAGTTATTGGAGCAAGGCGATTACCGCAATGCGATTCCTTTGTTAACTCAATTGCTGGAAATTGCTCCATGGTCAATAAAATTTCGACAAGCCCGTTCCGATGCTTACATCCTAACCGACGATTTATTGTCTGCTATATCCGATTTACGTTCCGTCAATAGACTTTCGCAGGACAGTACAGAAGGCTACTATCAATTGGCTAAACTATTATATCGTGTTGGTCACGCTACTAATGCTTTAAAAGAAATTCGCGAGTGCCTAAGACTAGATCCTGAGCATAAAGACTGCTTTCCGTTCTACAAACGTCTACGAAAAGTTGAAAAAGGCTTAACGTCGGCGGAACAATCACGAGACGAAAAACAATACCAGCAATGTATTACCGCAGCCTTAACAGCTTTAAAGCACGAAAACGATGAACCTATGATTATCTTTGAAATTAAACGTTTGCTATGTACCTGTTATACAAAGGACGAACAATACACTAAGGCCTTAAGCCATTGCAAAGACGCCTTAGTTATCCTACGCGATGCTCAAGTTTACTGTGATCGAGGCGATGCTTATATTGGGGCGGAAATGTACGATGATGCCATACATGATTTTCAAGAGGCTCTAAATATTGATGAGAATCTTCAGCGTGCCAAAGAGGGATTAGATAGAGCAAAGAAACAGCAAAAAAGAGCTGAACGTCGTGATTATTATGCGATATTAGGTGTTAAACGTGATGCGAGTAAACAAGAAATTCATAAAGCGTATCGCAAAGCTGCACAAAAATGGCATCCAGATAATTTCCAAGGCGATGAGAAAAAGGTCGCCGAAAAGAAATTCATTGATATAGCGGCGGCAAAAGAAGTACTAACGGATCCGGAAAAACGACGACAATTCGATAACGGTCAAGATCCTTTAGATCCCGAGGGTCAGCAAGGTGGCTTCCAACATGGTGGACAACCGTTTGCACATTTCCACCACGGGTCACCGTTCCAGTTCAAATTTCATTTTAATTAACCTCCCGAAGACTTTGCCAGTTAACTAATAATATTTTAATATTTAGTCAAAAATCTTTTTAATAAGTAGGTATAGAATACCAAAAAGTAATCTTTGTCTACTCACACACACACACACGCAATCACATACACTTCCTTTATGTTTTATAACTCCACTACTATGATGTAAAATTCAATTTAAATAACTCTGGCGCAAGGAAATTAATGAAGTATTGTGGAAATAACCATTAGTGCATATCTTCTCAGAAATTTTTTTTAATTTAATAATTTTTTTGTGCCATCCTACTCTGACGGGCTCTCACTTTTATTATGTTTTAATTAAATTCAATAGAAAAATTTCCTTTTTTTACTTTTGCCTCTTCTTTTCTTATTATATTGTTGTGTAAATAGTTAGGTTAATCGTTTCAAAATGTAAATTCACCACAAACAATACACAAATGTTTAAATTTTAAGGAAACAGTTTTAAATTATTGCTACGCATTAAATATATAACATATATAATTTAAATTTGAAAAAAATAATGAACTTTTTTTTTTTTTACCACAAAAAAATTTAAAAAAAAGCAAATAAACAAAAAAAAAAAATGTCTATAATTGAAGTGTAGATGGTGCCCTCTTTTTTTAATATATATTTGTCTATCGGCTTTTTATTTAGAGCGTGATCTTAAACTATATAAGAGAAGATATTTGTGTTGGTAATAATTCCCATGGAATATTTTCAATTTTAGGTTACGTTATTAAATAATTTGTGGTTAAAAGTCTTCATAGTTTTGTAGACGACGAAGATACGCTAATGCACTTAGATGAATTAAAGATAAAAAGTGCTTAAGCTAATTATAAATGAGATTAAAACACATGAATGACTAATTTAACAGATTTACGATTATTTTCGATTTTAGTTTCCACCACTTTAATAGACTTAATAGATTTGCGGCTACTTATCGGTTTCAATTTCTATCACTTTAACAGATTTATGGTTACTTTTCCTTTATAAATTTTGCTTTAATAGATTTACGGCACTAATTTCCACCACTTCAACAGCATTCGAAGCGTTGCAATTTATTGAAAACAACTCTGTACTCTCTCAATATATGATAGTTATTTTTATAAACGACGTAAAGAAAAAAACCAGCTAACGGATTTCAGCGAAAAAACAAAGCCATTTTACAAGTGCGCAAAGAAATTTTACGAAAATTATATAAAAAATATTTATAGTATTTAATAAATTAAGTTTTTGAAAAGAAAGAAGTTTTACGAAAATTAAATTAAAAGTTTTTGTAGTATTTAATAAATTAAGTTTTTGAAGAGAAAGCTGAAATTGCACGTAACTAACATTATATTGATTACTTGGAGAATATTTTTAAATGGACACCCATCTGAGATTCGTACAGATCCTTCGGACTAGTCTTTGTGGAGCTAAAGACAATTTTACTTAAGTTTTATACTTTTTTATTTATTTTTAAAGGATGAAAGTGTACTAATTTTTTTTTTTTTCGTAATGTATGTAACACTTACGAGGAAGCTTTAGAGTGAACTTAGATGTTTTTAAAATATGAGTCTGAATCAATCGGTATAATAAAAGGCGGATATATATCTTAAGCCCTTCTGGGTGTTATATACGTCCGCACTAACTTAACATGCCCTGTACTAGGACTGGAGTAGAGTATAAACAGGGGAATAATTTTCGCGGTCCACACGAAAAATAAGAATTGAGTTAGACAATGTAGGATAAGGTATTCAATAGTCGGCGTAACCCGAATATAATGTTTAGACTTGTTTTCTTTTTATAATGATCTCTCCCTTGTATTATTATTGTATAGACTTATTTTTTTTCATTATTACTATGGTTTAACTAAGATGTAATTCTTAAAAATACGATAACGAAACCACAAAATGATTTCATTAATGAATCTTAAAGGGGAAGAGGAATTAAAATTTTAATGAATATTTTTTTTTTATTTACTTAAAAAAATGAGAATACAAAAAAAAAAAAAAACCTTAACAATTTCATATAATTCATGTGTATATACATATTATTGGCAAATTTTCCCGCGATTAATTAAGTGATGAATTTAGAAAATTTTTAGAAATATGAAAAATGCAGTCTGTGCCAGTACAATGAAAACTGCAAATTTTGCTATTTGATGCATCCAGTAGAGTCTGAAAAGAATATTTATAATAAAATATTGTAAAAAATTTAAAAGGACCAAAAAAAAAGAAGAGGAAGCAAATATACTCGATTCTTTTTCTTAATACCTGTTCCATCGTGATAAGGCTTCCGACCTTGTTTCAATTGGATCTTTCAATAAATATTGACGTACACCAAGAAGGTATTGTTGTAAAAAACGATCCCAGTCTAACTGATCCATATCGAAGTAAAATAATTCTTTATCACGTTCCGATAAACTATTCCAAAGGTCCTGCACATTATCGATACCAAAGTCCCATTGACGCATGGCGAAATACTCAATCACATGCATAAAGCGATGTATCTTCTTATAAGTTTTAAGTAATCTGAAGCGGTAAAACCAATAAAGTGAAAGAAAATAATGTAAATTGATTTATTTTGATAAAATAAACTCGTATACTTTTGTAGAGTGAGTATTCGATCGAAATGTTCCGATGCGAACCATTTTGAATACACGTCAATGGTTAAACGTAAAAATATTATACATGGACGGAAAGATGGACGGACAAGCTTACCTCCATCCTAAATGCTTTTGATATATCTCGTATTGCGAGTGGCATATGGGATAACAAGTGAAAATATTGTAATCGGGCTAGGCCAACTATTGTATGCTCTACACTACATTGTCTAGCACATTTCCTATTTTTGCCGTAGACTACAACAATTATACACTGTTTTTATATGAACTTACCACTACGGAACTATATATTACACAAAATATCTGGATTTTTTAGAAATCTTACCCCCATAATTTTAATAAAATGGCGAAGGAAAGCTGCAACTTTGTGTGCAATTAAGCTATGGAATTAGGGCCCATAAACTGGAAAAAAAGCTTATAAAAATTCAATTTGATTTCGTGTCGTACAAACTGTATAGGGATCCTTTCGCCACCGTAAATCTAATCCTTAACCTCAACCTAACCTAAAACTTTTAGTTTTCGAAAAACTTACCGCGGTTTCTTTCCCATTATCAACGAAAAACAATCTAATATAGTTGCTGGCAGATAGTGTAAACAAAAGATGGACAACAAATGCATGATTCGGTTTGGACGATTCGCATAGCAGGTATACCAAATCGCTTTCTTTGTTGGATACATATGACCGTATTTGGTCGTTTTATTGGTAAAATCGCCCCAAGTAATTTTATTCTCTTTCGACGAACAAAAATTATACACTTTGGGAGTCTGAATAAGTTTTTCTCCATTTTCTTTTAAGGTTACCGTGGAGCTAACAAAAAAAAAAAAAGAGAAAAAAAGGAAAGAAATTAACTGATAATAAGTCTTTCGTTCATCAGATATAGATATAGTAAGCAAAGTAGGTATACTTATATTTTTTAGCAATATCCCAAGAGGCGGCTATAATGCTATTAACACACATATCAACTGGTACCATGTCGGCAAATGCATGTGGATTACAACGTAGAGTACGTATTATGCCCGTAGAGGCGCCCGCTATAACCCCGGTCGGCCCATAAAAATTATCTATCCAACCCGAGATTGGTTCATTATACGTACTTATCACTGTGTGTAAAGAGATTTGCATCTATGAAGAGATTAAATAATTCAAATGTATATAAGAAATAACTTACCTATGCCAGGACGAAATACTCCAACCGGTAAATTCTTACCAAACGTTTTTACTATATCCTCTGCCACGGCTTTTGTGAACGTGTACGTGTTGGGGTATTCGCCTAATAGCCTAAGTTATTATATATGAGGATATAAAAGAAATAAAGAAGCAAGTAAGAAAATTAAATTCGGTCGGGACCGAATCTTTTATACCCATCAGCATTATTCTAGAAAAAACTACAACGGTTAAAAGAACTAAATTTTCATGCTATATATTATGGAGTGCGCGCCTCTGATTTTTTCTGTTTTCAAAATAAAAGACTTTTTCGTATAGGTATGTGGGTATCGTAGGCGTGTCCTTTGAAAAGTTTAGGTCAATTCCAAATTCTTTTGCAAATTTTTAGGCGATACCTTCATATTTGCTAACGGGAGAATGTTTACCACAGATACTACAAAGTTGCGCAAACGGGCAGACGGACATGTTTAGGTGCCCAAAATTTGTTTACTTTGTGCGGTCTTCGAACTTTTTTCTCGAGCTTTATAAAGGCATTGAAAAAAAAAATTCAAGTTTGGTAGGCTATAATATTGGATAGGCGTGGTCATTTTTCCATTTTTCTACACCTGCTACAGTATCGCCCGTACATGTGAGCAAAAAACCAATTGTTTTTCTTTTTGACTAACAGCAGTGTTCTCAGTTTACATGGTGCTGTAAGCGTGTGCTTCGATCGATTTGGCCCCATTTCAGTACCAACCTGCGCGCAAGAATTTCCAACGTTGCTACCAAATTTAAAGTCAGAAGCTTCAAGAAGGACAGAGGAAAGTTTACAACAGACATTACACAGACGAACAGAGGGACATACACAAATCAATTTAGGATTTGATGCAGATCAAGAATATATGCACGTCTCTGATGCTTCCCCCTACCCCTCATTGTTTGGTGATGGGTATAAAAAGAGTTTTGATAAGAAAGTTTTTTTGTTTGAAAGCTTTTGAAAACTCAATTTACACTGGTGTCATACTATCGAGTAGTTTATCGGGCGCGCACTCAGTAAGAAGTATTAGATTTTTCGTATTACGCGGCGCAGCGTAAAATTTCTCTTCGATACGAGCTTGCGGACAATAACTATACGCTGTTGAGACATGTAAGCAGCTTTTAAGATTTTTCATTTCATTGCATAACAGCATAATGTCACGTGCCGCTGTGGCATTAATCTGCATTGCTATCTTAAGTTTCTCATCGAAACGCACCGTAGCAGCCATATGAAAAACAATATTCACATTCTCAATTAATATGCGACGATCTTCATGACTTAATCCTAAATCGGGCAGCATACAATCACCGGGTATACTTATTATATGATGACGAAATTTTGGTTTCATCATCTTCATTGTATCGAATATCTAAACAGAAAAAGAAATCCTTTTAAGTATGGTCAGTGAACTTTTAATTCTTCTTCTTCTTTTTTTTTTGTGTAATTCACTGAAATAAGTTTTTCCCCGGTTATTTTCTACTTACAGGATCGTTAAATATTTCTTCCAGGCGTTTTGTAACATTTGAATTTTTCTTTTGTCGCACCAACATATAAATCTGATCAATACCAGGACAAGCGGTAAACAATTTATTTAATAAAACTAAAATAAACAATAAAAAAACAAGTGAAATATTATTAGAACGAATTTAAAGTAAAGTAAAAAAAGTAAATAGTGATAATGTTTTTGTAAAACTTTTTAATATATCTTTTCTAATCATGAAGGCAATGAAGGCAATTTCAATAGCAAGGCTCTTCAACAAACTCAAAAACAATGAAACATTGCTTAGGCAAAATTCGAAAGAGTGCGTTGGAAAACTTTTGCACGAATTAGTTAAGAAAATTCTTATAAATAGGATGTCGATGTCGAACAAAACCTTTCTCTGCATTCGTTTTTGGTTGTCTTTGATTATCATTCGAGAACATGATCTAGGTTTCAGAACTTAAACCACTTGTACATGGCATATTAGGTTTACTTGATTTTTTAAATACTTTTTGTTCTTGTTCAGTAAGTCGCGGCCGATATCGAATATGCCGTTGTCCATGTCGAATAAAGCCTTTTCGATCTCGAACACCTTGTCGTCGACGTTGAAGTCAAGTCTTGGTTCGACTTTGATCAATATTTGAGAATATAACCTAACTTTCATAACCTAAACCGATTCTCGTGGAGCGTATATTCAGCTTGTTTCATCTTCTAAATGGTTTTCTTTCTATTCGAACAATCACGATCGATATCGAGTGCAAGCTTGACGATGTCGAAATGAAGTCTTCATCTGACTGTGATTGACATTTGAGAACCTGACCTAACTTTCATAACCTACACGACTTCGCGTGTAAGGGATAACTCAGTTTGTTTCTTCCCCTGAATGCTTTTTGTTCTATTTGGCCAGTCACGATCGATGTCGAATCGAGCCGTTGTTAATGTTCCAGGCAAGCTTTTGACGATGTTGAGCCAAGCTGTTGTCGACGGCGAAATCAAACGTCTATCGATGTCCAATATGCCTTCGTTAACATCGAAGTCAAGCCTTCATATGAGTATGATAGGCACTTGGAAATATAACCTAACTTTTATACTAGACATATTTGGGAACATAACCAAATTTTTATACCATATGCCATTTATTATACAGCATATAATAAATTTGTTCGGACGTACTTAGGACGTCTTACGGCACATCAAACTTTTATCATATCGTTTGATTTAATATAATTTTTTGAGACGATTTACATTTATCTGTCCATATAAAATTCTGTTTAACCTAAAGAGGGCAATTTTTGGAATATTTTGATAAAATTGGTTACATTGGCATAAGTCGCCTCAAGGACGAATTTCTGTTGGAAATGACTTGGATTGATTTGGTTTCGTTCTATGCTAATGGAGTTAAAATTTTACATTAAATCTGAAAATAAATTACTTACTTTTCCCCAAGAATCCAGTACCGCCGGTAATTAAGATATTTTGTCCATAGTAAAAGTTTTGCAATGCGGTGAGTTTCTCATCTATAAGCACATCTTCTATATACATTATGATTACACCGGTCTTGGCTTATGAAGAAAATGCCTGTAAAAACAATTGCAAAGAACTACTTGAAAAAAAAAACTAAGGAAGAACGGTTAAATAAGCTTAGTTTATTTCATTTATTTTTATACCCCACACTACTTGTAATTTGCGGATGTATACAGAAGTTAAAAGGACTTGAGATAGAGTCACCTTTTCGTATACCGATCGATTCAGAATCGCTTTTACTTTTAAGATGGTCCGTGTATCAGTCCGTCCGTTTTGTTTTCTTCTGTTTAACCTACAGACCGCAAATGCCATGTTTTGGCCCAAGAATGAATGCTATTGACATTGGTTTGGATCGAAGAACTTTTTCAACCACTTCCCATAAAACGTCTTGTTTTCAAAACCCTTATATGAACGAGTATAGGGTGTGTGCAGGATACTTAATGGTGGTTCGCGTCCCAGAATAGCACTTTTATTTGCTTTTCTCAAGTTTCACTTCAAATTCGACCTGTTTATTGTCAACACTAATGCTTATCCGCACCTTTCCTAACTAATAAAATATGATGCACGCAACTTTAGCAAATCATTACAAAAACGATATTTATAAGTTATTCGATGTTTTTCGAGAACTCATGGAAATGTCGTGGACGCAATTATAACTTTTTTTGGCACATACGCATAGTTGATTATTACAGCCATGGCCTAGCAAGGAACAAAAAAAAAAAAAAATGAATAACAACACTTCCAGTAATCTAGAAGTCCGTGATCAATATATGGTAAACTAAATTTTTTTGAAAATTTTGTTAATTTAATTATTTGACAATGGCGCAAATGATATCGATATTGATTAAAATGCATAACGTATTCTTCAACTATTTGTAAACTCACACACGAACAGGCATATTTAAATCTAACTTACCACTTATACATATAAATAGCCCAATATCTAATGAACAAACAACAAAACGTGTGCTTACATCAGGCATAAAACAATATGCGTTAAATCTTATATACAACACTGTGCAAAAAAAATAACTCCTGCCTCTTTTAGGTGTAGAAAAAAACACCTTTTTTTACTTTTCTTAGAAGATTTTATCGATACTTATTCTCCCATTAAAGAAGAGAAGAAATTTATATATAAAAAGTCGTTTGCGCGATCGAATTTTTTAATTATCCATGACTAGCTTATATACGAAAATAGAGTAAGTGAATTATTCTCATTCAATACCGCGATTGTATATCGCATCGTAACAGTTGTATATCGTAAATATTTTACATAGCACAGCATTGAACATGGATAGAATTGCATGCCGACGTGTTTCAATTTTCTAATAATTCTAACATTGTCGCGTTTGCTAGCGGGAAGTAGTTAGACCAACACTTCCTTTAAAGTAACCCGAATATCTTATCTTTGGCACTTTTTTTTATGCCCATCACCGGAAGATGCCTTACATTCATTTTGGCAAAATGTTTGTAACGCGCAGAAAAAGCGTTACATAGTTTAAAAAGTAGCATATATACACACTTTTCATTCAACTCAGTCAAGGACTATACTAGTATATATATATTCTTGATAAGAGTCAAATTCCAAAAACTATAGCCAACCCAAATAGCTTCAAAGACCCTGGAAAGTATGTCAGTATAAAATTCCCTTGCTTGTCTATGTACTTGACAGGGTTGCAGAAATGAAGATAGCGGTTTCTGATTTGACAAAAATATCACAACTTTTTTTAGGCAGACTGTTCAGATCGATCTACAGTGCAACATAAAGGGCGAATATATCTTTTTGGAGATTGGTGCTTATTATTCCTAAACCGCAACAGAGGCACCAGTAACAGCATTCAAATATATTCTATGAATGATCTCATATAGGGTCATCCATATTAGTAGATTTCGCAAACTCATAGCGTTCATGCTTCTCTTCAGATTCTCATCAAAATTCAGTATTGCTTGCCAAATTATCGTTACAAATTACAAAGTTGTACAGTGTATAGAAACTCTTTAAATTTATTACAAAAATAGTGAATCCGTTCCGACTACGTTTTGTGCATGTGTGATTAGGCGCATATTTCATTAAATGACTTCATAAATAAGGTTGTGCAACGCCCAACATTGAGAACACCTTTGCTTTCGCAGTCTTTTGCTCCTGGCTACAGGATGTAAATTTACAAAAAATTGTTCTACAAAAATGGAAAAAATCCATCCAATATTATAGAATATGCAAATTTACATTTTTCCTTTTTTTCATTCTTTTACCGGATAACGGTGATGGGTATAAAAGTTTCGGTCGTAATCGGGCGTAAGTTTCTTATTTATTGACTTTTTGCTTTATTATTTTGTACCTAATTCTCCTTTTACACGATGCATATGATGCAGACTAAACCGTGTAAAAAAAGATACTGGCTAAATGAAAAAGTAGACCTAAAAAAGCAACTGGAACGTACAATAATAAACAGTAAAAAATTCTTGCTGGAGTTCAGTTAAGAATTTACTTCTTTCTTATACATTTTAATTCATTAAATATATCACAAAAATAAAAAATAAGTTATACTTTGAAAAATGACCACACAAACTAAATTACGTAAAAAATACACTACGTCCTTACTCTATGCATAATTGGAGGAATTCCACTCATATAAGCATACAATCGACATAACCTAAAAATATGACGTGAAGTTACAATGCATATTTATGAGCAGTGAGACTGAAAAAATTCATAAAAAAAAATTCAGAAAAGAAAAATATTACATTGGTTGGAGAACTGCAAATTTTGAAAAATAAATGTATCCAAACAATTACTCGGCACTGTAAATTTTCTAATGAAAGTGAAAACCCTGTCAAAAAAAAAAACAGTAAAAGTTGAAACACTGTTAGAAAATCTCCATTCAGAAATTCAGTTTATTCATTAAGTTACATACATTATTGCTTATTGATAATATCATCGAATGAATATGAATGACTGCTCAAGTCTGTTTGTTATAATTATTACATTGAGAAGGCAAAAATTTTGGATTTACGCCATAGATTGGGGTGCATAAGTATGATATATTTACTCATTAAATATGCATGTAAGTGTGTACAAGTGTTAATGTATAGATGTCTAACTGTAAATCATTGAATTTTTTGTTTTTTGCTTTTTTAATCATAGAAATAATATTCCAACTTTTACGTATATGTCAAACATTTATTAACGAAATAGCGTTAAATGCGATTTCAAAATATTAATTTCTAAAAAACATTTTACCCAATGAACCATATTTGTTAGCTCTTTATTTAAAATATGAATGCGAACGAATTAATAAACGGAACGTACACAACGTCCACAGTTACGTGCATGGATGTGTTAGTAGAGTCGGTAAACAAATTGAGACCGAAAAAGTACATAAAGTGAAAGTGTAAAAAAAAAATATATATATATAAAATTTATGTCAAAGCTTTTCGCATGTATACGCGTATGTATTATCGCATGCTCTTCACCAAAGGAAGCGCATGCAAACTCTGCCCGTTATAAAGTTAATAACCCATTAAATTGTAGTTAATCGGGTTTTTCGACACCTTCTACGTTATATAGGTTATTTAACACATTTATGCCCATCTATTTGCATATAAAGCCGAAAGCCTTAGATGCTAGTGCTTTAAGACTTTAGCTTTAGAATTTATTCTCTGGCTAAATTTATAATAATAATAATAATAATATTTGCATATAACTCTAATTGACAAATTCCTTTTCTCCCCACCACAAGCAAACAATGTACATCTAATCCTCTTTTTATACGAATCTTTTTTTACACGATTTTTTCTACGCGAATTTTTTTTACACGAAATTTAATTAAAAATGAGGAAAAATCATAAATAAAGAAAAAAAGAAAAAATAATTCGCTTTTTACACGAATTGTTTTCTTTTAACACGATTTTCAATATTCTATGTATTTTTTTATTGAATTTTTCTAATGGATTTTTTTTTGGATGCTTCCATGAATTTTTTCATTCTCACTCCTTACAAATATTCATTGTATCTTTGCGTTACATTTTTCACAATTCAATTAGATTATGTATATTTGACGCTTATATGAGCGGGATTCCGCTAATTATGCATAAAGTAAGAACGTAATGCATTTTTTTAAATAATTTAGTTTGCGTAGTGATTTTTCGAAGTATATTTTATTTTTTATAACAAATTTAATGAATTAAAATGTGTAAAAACGAAATCAATTCTTAAGTGAAATCTAGCAAGAATTTTTTATTGTTTATTACTGTACTTTTCAGTTGCATTTTCAAGTCTGAAAGCGATCTACTATTTTTCAATTCAGTTAATACCTTTTTTCACACGAATTTTTTACACGACTTTTTTACACGAATCTCTTGGAAACGTATCCATCGTGTGAAAAGGGAATTAGGTGCATGTATTAAGAGATCAAAAAACCGGGTGGAACATATAAAATATTTTAACGATTTTCGATTAGCAAGACTCTACTGATCTATATATAATTATTGAACTTTGTAAAGATATTTTGAGAAAGAAATTTACTTAATTTGGGCTACGAATATAAGTAGAGACGTACGCTCACAGGCATAAGGGTACATTAAGTTTGGGCATATGTATGCAATACCTAAAAGGACTTGAGATAGATTCATCTCTTATTATACCGATCGTTTTAGAACCAGTTTCTGATTTGATTTAAACTTGTCTGTACGTCTGATCGTTACCGTTTGATAGATTGTCATGTTTTGACTCAAGAACAAACGCTGTTGAAAACGGTTCGGATCGGACGAGTCTTTCGAATACTTTCCCTACAGCATATTTTCAGCAACCAATATCTAAATAATTTATGGCTATATAGGGTATTCGATGGTGAGCAATGCTCAACTATAGTGTTTTTACTTGTTTTTTTACCTAGCAACGTTTCTAGGCGCTATTCAGCAAAACGAATGATAAACCAAAGAGACAAGACGTGGTGAATAGAGGTAGATATTCAATATCAATGAAAAGACGATTTCAACTGACTTTGAAATGATTACTCATTACTTAACGATGGAAATGTAATTGAAGCTTATGC